CGCTAACACTACACCAAAAATTGGCAAGTGTTAGCGCCTGCTACAAATTAGCGTAGCACAGCGGCCGTAGCGGCGCGCTAACACTACGCGAAAAAAAAAAAAATGGCGCCGCTACGCTAACGCTACATGGGCCTGTAGCGTAGTGTAGCGTAGCGGCCCACCGCTGCTTGAACCCTTGGACTACAAATCTGGCCTTGAGTTTTTCAACGGAACCGTCTGCTTTTCTCTTGATATCAAATACAAATTGGGTGCCGATTGAGTGTTTGGAGTCCTTGTCTTCAACGGCAAAGGTGTCGATTTGTTTCAGCTGTTTCCATTTGTCCATGCAAGCCGATTTCCATCTGGCTGCATTCGGAGACAGAAGGACATTTCAGAGAGAAGTTGGTATGTCGGCATCCAAGATGGCTTGGATGTTGTCGATTTGAATGTCATGTGTGTCACAAATTTCTTTGGTTTGTTCTTTTCCAAGATGGAGGATTCTACGAATGCAAGGTGAGTCAGAAAATTTTTTGGGTGTGGGGATGATGGGTTTGTTTTGAAAATCGAGGAAGTCAGCACACTCAGAGTTGATGATCTTCTTGGTTTCAGGATCCCAGAAGAACCATCCACGCTCGTCATCTTGGTAATCGACGAGGTAGCCTGTCCAGCCACATTGGTCGAGTTTGCGTCGGCGGTCTATGGGAATGTGTACCGTCGCCCGGGCCCCAAATGGGTAGAAAGAAGTGACATTAGGCAATCGATTGGACCAGAGTTCTAGAGGAGTCGACTCTGGTATTCAATAGGCGATTTGTGAGGAAGCATGCGCACTTGTAGGCATATGACCATAATGAAGAATGTAGATGAGAGTGGGTGAGTGTTGTCCGGGCAATTTTGCCAAGAGTCAGGAAGGGCGGGTTCGTCTGCCCGCCCCTTGGAATCCTCTTTTCAAGGGAAAACAGGATTCCGAGGGGCGTGCAATCAAACCCGCCCCTCAGGGGAGGAGTGCGTTTATCAACACCCGTATTAATCACCCACTAACTAACACTCACCACGCTCAAACACTTCAGTCAACTCATAGTAACAACCTTTTACTACTAAACACTCAGGTTAGTTACCCAGAGGCTTACACTGATCTAGGTCTGATAGAGACTACTACATATAAACTTTTCTCCATCATAAAGTTACACCACAACAATAAAAATAAATTTTTTTCAGAATTCTTGTGTAGTAAATAGAGGTGCAGGTCTTTCAAACCACCTGTAACAGTAAATATTACCTAGTGATATATCATATTATTATTTCCCCCTCAAGAACTGCCAACGCATCCCAAAGGAGTTCTCACACCGGCCCATGAAATGCCAAAGTTATTCTGAATATCATCAGACTTAACCTAATAATGTATACTCACAGTAAATATTATTAGGTTTGAGGGCCCATAATCCCATAATCATGGCCCCATAAGTACTTGGATATACAGATTAACTATCTCTGTTTGCTGCATATCTCATCATCATGCCCCCCAGATTAAAAAAGCAAACCAAGGAAACCTCCATGCCCACCCCAAATGAGGATATCAAAGTCATATCTGACTCTGCTCCGCAAAACCCAACCCTGTTGGCCGCAACTCCTTTCACAGCCAAGTGCCTCAGAGGACTCAACCAGCAGTCCTTGTTTGTTGTGCTTCACAACTTCCAGCAGTGCTGACACTGCATTGACATGGACATTTTCTCAGCAGCTCTCACACAATCTCCTCACCAAGATGATTATGGCCCATGAGCAGCCATTCACTTCAATTGAGTAACCCCCTTTCAAGACTTTCATCCAATCTCTACAGCCAAATTTTAAACTCTACACCCGCAACACGCTCAAGTCCAATGTCATAACAATATCCAATTCCATGAAGGCCAAATTGATCACTGAAGTTGCCAACGTAGAACGTTTTTCATGAAAAACAGACCTCTGGACATTGTCAAATCAATCCCCTTTCATGGTGGTCACAGCCAAGGATGTAACAGATCCGATCCCCGGATCGGTATTTATCTGGGATTGGATCGAAAATGGACCCGATACCAGGTATTGGTATTGGATCGCTCCACCCAATCCAATCCCAATTTATTGGACAACTGGGATCGGGTGGAGCGATCCGATACCAATACCTGGTATCGGGTCCATTTTCGATCCGATCCCCGATAAATACCGATCCGGGGATCGGATTGCTTACAGTTTGGATGATACCCAAGTGTAAGGCATACAGCCCGCAGCATTTGGGTGCCGGATCGGGATTGCAATGCGATCCCGATCCCAATCCGATACCATTTCGATACAATACCATGGGGATTGGATCACCCTTAGTGATCCGATCCCTTATTTTTCGATACCTGGTATCGAAAAATCGATCCGATCTGATAAATTGGCCGATACCGTATCGGATCGGATCTGTTTCACCGTTGTCACAGCCCATTTCATCTTTCCAAACTGGTCCTTGAACAAACAAATTATCTTGTTCATGGAACCCCCCGCACCTCAATCATCATCAAGCAAGTTACCCTGGACATTAAATTAGAGAAATTTAGTGAAGCGGAGCGTACAAGTTCAATAATTCTCCTGGGATGTTCTCTTTTTTCCACAGTGAATTTTCTTATCATTATCACTATTTGATAAAACTTAAGGATTTGAATGTATAGACTAGTGAAAACTCCCTTTCTCTTGTATTCTCAAAGCTCAGGCACAGTGAAGCTCATCCCACTGTTATCCCTTATTGTTATAAGGAGCAAAAACCTCCACTTTTGAGTGTTGAGGAGAGGTTCACTTCCACTGACCACCTCTGTGGTTATAATGAGGCCCAAAAACCTGTCAGCACTTGGCTGCATAAGAGATCAGCACTGACAATCTAGATAGAAGACCAATCCCTCTGACAGGAAACAAATGATTTGCTGTACCAAATATGCTAAGAGAGAAGCTGTACATATTCTTTTGTGATATGTTGCATCAGACAAGAAATGAATGGAAAAATTCAATTTGAAATGAAGGAAAATCAATAAATTCTTTTGGTAAAACATTTTATATGTGACCGCCTGTTTTTGATTTTGAAATTTCTAGGAAACTCAACTCTGATTGGACATTTCTGTAAAAGGAATTCATTGGAGATGCAAGTATACTAGATTTTCCAACAAGGGAGGAGGCCTCTGAGTAAATGATAACCAGATATTGGGACAAGGCCTGCACTAATTCAGCAGAAACTGGTGTGGCAGTTTGCAAGCTATGAGGAAAAGAGAATTCACCATAAGGTTTGAGTGGTTGAGGTTTTTTACGGTTCATGTGTGCAATATACCCGACGTAAGGTTCCATAATTCTTCAAAAAACATCAGACCATAATTCATGGATTTCAATTCTGAAATGTAATTGTAATTATCAGAGTCTAAAGTTATTCCAGGATAATTGTCTTCTGCAAATCTCAAAATGATAGAAGCCCATATTTTTTCTTTGGGATCATGAGTGTTCTGAAGCCTTTTCCTTGTGGACATAAGTATCCTCTGAACTGCAATGTAGTCTTCATCATGCTTCAGTTTCTGGGTTTTCTTTCTGAGTTTGTACTTTTCAAATGGGTGCTGAATTGTGAATTTCTTTTGAGCTGAAGAGCTTGACTCAAGTAACTCAATATGCAATTCTAATTTGTTGAATATTTTTTTATCATATAAAATATTATGGCTGTAGTCACGATAAAAGTACTTGAACAGAGCCTGAAGAGCTCTCAAGGAGAAATATCTCTTCTCTCTAGGTTCAAGGAACTTGTTGGATATTTTTGTTGAATCCATCCCAAGCCAAAGAGGATATACAGATGTAAGAAAAAGCATTGTGAGTATTATAGAAGTCTCAGAAGGAAATAATTTTAGCTTGAAGTTTAGCTCACCTTCTTCAAGAGTCTGAAAATGTGAGAATTGCCAATCATTGAGAATATATTTACTACTGATATAATTTTCAATTTTTTTGTCACTGATTGGTCTCTGTTGACCATATTTGATTTTGTAATTCAAGACCATGTTGATTGAAGCAATATCCAATGTCTCCAAATCATAGAAGTCCCTGAGATCTTTCTTAGTTATTAATTTTTCAGTGTAGCTTAAATGAATTGTTTGAAACACTAAGCCTTAGATTGTAGCAGCAATCTGTTCTGTTATATAAAACAAATTATCAACTGGCTTTGGAAGTTCAATCCCAGTTGGAATATGATCTAATATTTTGTGCAGTTTTTTATTTAGTGTCCCTATCTCCAGATCCAGATTTTCAGCTCTTCCACTTGACAGAAGGCTATGCACTTTCTCCAATTCTATTTTGCATTCCATTAAAATTTTATAATGATCTTGAAATTTGGGTTCTTCCTCCTTCAATCCCTTCTGACATGCTTCTTGAACTTCATCTAATATTCCTTTCATCAGTTCCCAATCCCTGTGCTCTTCTTTTAATTTCAAATGACTTGCTGTATTTGGTTAGTTCAATATAGAAGAGAAGTTGATGTTGTACACACACACCCCAAAGGACCAAGTCAGCTATATGAACTTTTGGATGTGAATGTATTCTTCAAGCTTACCAATCATAAAAAAAGGGCAAGATTCTTTATTCAAAGGAAAGGTCTTTAACAGACAGTAACCAACTTCATCATACCAGTCAAGAGGTATGATGGGTACAGAAAATACCTCTTGATTTCCATTGAATTGTATGGAGCTCTGAAGATTCTTTAGAGGAGTATGAACTCCCGTCTCTATTCTCTTTGGTGTGTCTAGATAAGCCACTGGATGTTTTTCTGTAGAAGATGATTTTATTGACTTGGAAGAGGCCTCAGCAATTGTAGATGGGAGACCTACATGTGATGGAAGATAACAGTTGTGAAAATGAGTGTTGGTCTTTATGTTTGTGATATGAAAGAAAATAAACCAATTTGGATCAAATCAAATTACCCTGACCATGCATGCATTGTCTCCCTTGAAATTGCAAGAAAAACAAACACAAAAGCAAACACTTGATTTTGTTCATCCCAAGGGCAATTGGCATGGTGGGTGGCCTGAAGCAGATGATAGAGTGCTAGCTATTGTATGGAAAAACACCAAATCTCCGGTAGAAATAAGGTGAGGAATACTTTGAGGTCAAGCCGACTGTCCAGCTACTCTAGACAAAGACCTCACTTCAAACCCATCTGCATGAGTATTGCGGGTGTTATCAACGCTGCCACAGATACGATACACTGTGTGTATCATGGAGAATTCTGCAAAGCTGCATGGCCAAAAACCAAATTTGTTGAATCTCCTTGCAAATAAAAGCAGATTGGTCAGATAGTTTTTTTTTATTGGGGCTCAGATACATAGTGATACATGGCAGATACGGGCAGATACCGTATCTGTGGCAGCGTTGGTGTTATGAAGCATGTTAGAGACATCTGTAAGAAACGGTGGTCAGCAGTCTTTGCACAAGTGCATACGTCACATCAAGGAAGAGAGATTCAAGTCGAAGCAGAACCGACGGCATACACGATTAGTAACGAGTTGAGGTTTCATATTTCGAAATGCTGCCAGCCGGCTTGTAGTGATTGAACGCGCCGTTCCGACTGTTTCGCAGAAATTCGAGTTATGTAGAGCCATCAGTGTCTGCTGCAGTGATATCTTTGCCCATTTGACTGCATGCCAGACTTTTTGGTAGGAGCTTCCACGTTCGTTGATAGCTGGGCATCATAACCCCAGAACATCGGAGGAGCTGATTTCCTTTTGAAAGAAAAGAAAAACTGATGTTTACCAACTTCATTTAGACTGACTTTTGGCACAGTTTTACCACCAAGTTGTTCTAAAAATGAAGGGCTGATCTGCTCACCAAGTCCGTATAATTTGGTGTATTCAACTGCGTACTAGCCCTTATTTAAGCACATGTCTATCATCGGACCAGTGGCCCCCTCAGCCCATGACACAGCTACAGCCTAATTTTGAAAAAATGCAAATATGTGCAGCTTATTCTTGATTCTGCCCAGAAAGCCTTTCTTCCTCAAGGACTGAAAAGCGTCCAAGAAGTATCATCAGCTGGTCAAATTTTCAAGAGAAATGTCATTGTTGGTATTGCCTCACATGGTTAAGAAGGATGGAAAGCAGCATTAGCTTAGCTTTGCCTTTAACAATTCTTGCAGGGCAATAGCCCCCCCCCCCTGCACAGACAGCAACTTGCTTGTTGGCTAGCAACATAGCATTATCTGTCATCAATATTTATCTCATTAATTTGAAACAATTCGAACGTATCTATAAGCTTGTTCATGTTGTGTGTGGATACTGCGAGGACATCGACGCTACTCGGGCATCGGGATGGTCCTAGTTCTTCTACGGCCATCATCCTTGCTCCAGATTTCGATAATTTCAGGAGGCCTTCAAAAATCCAAATTTGGCAAAATCGTTCACGCCAGAATATCAGGAGCCATTGATCAGCTGGAGTATTAAAAAGACAACGAGTTACATCATGAAGCCTGATTCCTGAAAGGGGGCCAGCGCATGGGATCGACAGATGATCCGAGACTCGCGAGTTTCCTTCAAAGAGGTACAAAGGCTAATTGGTTGACAGAGATATGGATGGATGGATGGACATGGGTTGCAATTGGCCCGGAACTTGAACTCTAGCAATCCGTGAGCAGCAGTGCAACTCGGGATGCGACTTTTATGTATCTCTGTCTCCTATGCAAAGGGTAAAACTTGATTACTTCGCCTTTACTCCTCTGCATCAGTCTTTTCTTGGCCTGGTTCTGTTCCACAAGCACGAAAAAAAAGCAGAAGCGACACATGTGCTGTTCATGTGGCCCTCAACACACGCCTTGGCTACATTTTTCGAACCCAATCGGAAGCGCACTTTATCTCAAACCGGCAAAGTTTGATACGTACGATGGATCTGATCAGGCCAAGTGATTTGTATCTTCAGACTCTCGCGACTGCAACGGAGTTTTACCAAATGATGGGTTTGGTGGAACGGCTAGCCTTGCACACCCACCGGCTATTATAAGCTCAGAGACAGTTGGGTGCCGGCCGGTTCCACGAAGGCACATGAGCGAGTTGCTGATAGGTAATAATTAGGCTGTCTGTGAGGCCAGTGGATCTGTTTTCAGCGGAGTTCCTGTCGGTTATGTATCTAAATCCGACAGCCACTATCCCAATGTATGCCGGATAACGTCCGTTTCGCTAGCGGCAGTTCCGGAGTGATTGGTATTATACGAATACGTCTTAATAGACTGTGTCCTTGCCAGTGCCACCCTGCTCCTGTCCTCGTTCTTTCCAGCTTGGCTCTCTCTCTCTCGCTCTCAAACCATAGTGATTGTTCAAGCCCATGAGTCCATCTGCGATTAACACCGCTCTCGAAATTTACACCCGGCTACCTCCTGCAGATCTTCCATCCTCCTAACGCTTGCTCACTCGTCTATAGTCCTCTGCAGCACTGTTTGGGAAATCGCTTCTCACCCGGCATCCGACTCGTCCTCCCACCCCTAGCGCGAGTCTTCTGGTCTCGCTTTGCTTTAAGATTGCTGCCAATCAGTCTGTCGCAATCTATGCCTCTCATCCGAAGCTAACCCTCTCAGCTTCATCGTACTAACATTCTGCTTGTCCAAAGAAGCTTCGGAGCTATATCACCCTGTATAGAGAAAAAAAAAATGGGTCAAGATTACTCCGCGCTATTCAATCAACCAATGATCCAACAGGAATGGGCCATCAGCGTAAAACCTGTGGTGCTTCCGGTCTTGACCTCAATCTTTCTGCTCTTCATTTCGGCAGTCTCATTACCATGCAAAGGTCGATCGGCGGTTTACTTTAGACTAGCTCTGCTCCCGTTCCAATTGATATTGACCCACGATATTTGCGTCAACAAGAAATACTCCTTGGGATCAGCTTTCAGGGATTCATCCTTTCCTACTTTCGGCTTCCTCCTCTTGTATCGGGCCCTGGATTTCTCGATCTTAAACCTCTGGGATCCCGAGCCTGCGTTTCATTGGATTGTTCCCGATCGTCCTCCAACAACCGAATCGAAATCTAAATCGCCAGATGAGAAACCAATCCGGTGGCGCAAGGTGCCACATCCGCCCCTCTTCTCCTTCGATCGTATGCTCTGGGCCTTGGACAATCTCACCCTCATGAGGCCCGGTACACCCTTTCTATTTCCGTGGAAAATTAGAGCTCTCGAATGGTCTCAATACGCTCTTGAATCACCTCAAACCAAATTCGGAGAGCCCGAATGGCCACTCTTGCCGGCCATTATTCAACAACTCGTTCATCTGGGATGTCATCTCTACGTCCGTCAGCTTGATCTCAAGGCCGGCCAGACAATATGGACTCTACCTCTGTTCGACCAACTTGCACTTACCTTCGCACTTGGCGGGGCTGTCACTTTCTCTTATGCTCTGGAGGAAGCCATCTTTTTCCCATTGATCTTGCGCTTCAACTTACTCCCGAAAACCGCACTGATATCTCATTCAAAGAGATCCATCGCTTCGGCTGGCCTCGGCGAACTCTGGGGGAAAAGGTGGCATCATGTGTGGAAAAGATGCTTCGTTCGACTGCCCCGATTGATGCCAGGATCAAGTCACAGATTGGTTCAGATGTTTGGCGCATTCTGGACTAGGTGCGTCTCTGTTTCCTCAAATCAATGCTTCTGACTAACGCATCATGACCGATCATCTCACCCAAAAATTGTTTTTTGTGCACTCCTCATTGGGATGAAACTGGCAAAACAAAAATTACACAGCGCGATGTTCCATTGCTTAGTCCTAGGAAGACTCTATCCTACGCCAGACATCAGCCGACCGATTTCATTTTTACCTTTGATATATGAACCGGGAATTTACAAATTCTTCTTATGTCAAGGCGCCGGAGTGATTATCGAGAAGATCCTCTTAGGGGATCCCAAGAAGGATGAACGTCTGACCAAGAGAATCATCCGAATCTTTTACCTGTATTTTTTCCTACTCGGGGCCGGTAGATACTCGACTAATTCTCTCGCTGTCAAAGGTCTATTGGATAGAGACCAATGGAATACTGTGACCATCCCAGCTATCTCTAGAATGTTTTATGATATTTTCTTTGCAGAATGACTGTCTGTTTTCTTTATGTAAAATCTCCTTTCATTTGTTTTTATTTACATTTTTTTCCATCACATATCTTACTGGGAACCTTAGGGTCTGTAATTCCATATAAACATTGTTGTATGCAATCCTTTATACCAGCACACCTCTTCCTTGTCAGATGTCATCTGTAAAGCTCCTGGGACCATGATAGCTGAAGTCATTTGCAATTGGTCAACTTGCCCAAAGCACTTCAACTTTGATGCTTTCAAACAAGATAGTAATAGAAGGCTCTCCTTTTTTGCACACCAAAGGATCCCCTCACACACACCAAACAGGTGTGTGTCAATGTGTACTCCTAAACAATTGGAGTGCCCCCTGGTACACACCAGGATAATTGGAGTCAGAGCCCATGCACTTCAACCTTCATGTCACAGCAATGCTCTGTGTGGTGCACTGGTAGCCACTCAAAACACTTTTGAGTACCCAGCCACACACTCCTTCCTGAGCACCCCTGGTTGGCCTGAGATAGGAGTGCATCACTGTGCACTCCAAAAAATAGTGGGGCTGTGCATCACTGTATTTCATTTTTAACAAATTAAATTACATCTAGCCCTGAGGATATGCCTTTCTCATTTGCTGAACTCAACCGGATTCCAAACACACCAACCACAATCATATTCCAAACAAAGAACCATCTCAGCGACAACCTCAGATTTCAAAAGAACCAACCACAAACCTGTATTCCAAAGAATGCAGTTACATGCAGAGGGGCCTGACTGTTGATTAGTATAACCAGGCTACTGAGGACTCCAAAAAGTCAAACAAAAGACTCTTTCCGTCTGTGATCTCTTGACCAGCCTCTTGAGGCTTTCAAAAATTTAAAAAATCTCTTTCTCTGTTGAGTGCAATGAACCAAAACAAATGTGAGTTTTGTGTGATATCAGTCTGGAGGTCCAAGAAAACACTCCAAATTTTTTTTTGAAGTGAAGCTCTGTAAACTTTGAATAAATTGCAGTGAGCAGGATTTGTTAAAGTCTTGACTTTTGGACATTTTAATCTAGAGAATTGGGGACAGTAAAGGTTGTTACTGGACTGGTTTCAAGTTGTGAAAAATGAAGGAGGATAACAATAAGTTTTATTTCTTGCAGCTAGCCTGATCAAATAGCCTGAATACAGGAGGTCAAAATTTGGGGGGTTGATAAGCGCACGCCAACCAACGGTGCCACAGATACGAGACATGTATTCGTATCGGATTGTATCGTATTTATTTTGAGCCTGATACCGGTATCAGTATTTCCTTGGTTGGTGAAAAAATACATTGTATCGGATTTGGATTTAAAAATGAAAAAAAAAAATTGTCTTTGTTTTTTTCGTTTTTTCTTCAATACGGCCAAATATCTCAAGTATCAAATACGGTTTTGGTGGGATCAGTCATCTGAGACAATACAGAATACATTTCTCACTTTTCAAATATGATACATGTATATGTCTCAGGAAAGTGAGACAACACAAATCCGGTATTTTTGGGTATTCAAATTCTGAGACGATACAGATAAACGCCTGATACCCGTATCGTATCGTCTCTGTGGCACCGTTGCGCCAACCCCCATGGCGCACGCCAATCTGCACGCCAAGCGCAGATTGGCGTGCGCACCTGCACGCCAATCTGCTGCAGGGTAGATTGGCACGCAGTTGGCGTGCAGGCCTGCACGCCAAACTGGGTCCTAAACCCATATGCATATGGGTTTAGGACCAGGGCTATCCCATAGGACCCAGGCCTGGGTCCTAGGGGATAGCCCAGAGTTTATTTTTTTTTTTCAAGAAAACAAATAACAAGGCTCGTCGGGAGGGGTTCCTCCTGGCGAGCCAGTACTTAAACCCACTCGTCGGGAGGGGTTCCTCCCGGCGAGACGGTAATTAAACCAGTTTGTCGGAAGGAATCCCTTCCGACAAGCTGGTGTACACAACAGCTCGTCGGGAAGGGTTCCTCCCGACGAGCTGGTTTGACAATCTGATGAAACCAGCTTGTCAGAAGGAATCCCTTCCGACGAGCTGGTTTAATTACCGGCTCGCCGGGAGGCACCCCTCCCAACGGGCTAGTGTGTAGACCAGCTCTTTGGAAGGGATTCCTTCCGACGAGCGGGTTTAAGTACCGGCTCGCCCGGAGGACCCCTCCCGACGAGCTGGCGAACAGAGGCTCTGGCTGGGAGGGGTTCCTCCCAGCCTCAAGCAGTTATTGTTTTTTTTTCTTGAAAAAAAAATAAAAAATTAAACTCTGGGCTATCCCCTAGGACCCAGGCCTGGGTCCTATGGGATAGCCCCGATCCTAAACCCATATACATATGGGTTTAGGACCCAGTTTGGTGTGCAGGCCTGCACGCCAACTGCAGGCCAATCTACCCAGCAGCAGATTGGACTGGTTTCAAGTTGTGAAAAATGAAGGAGGATAACAATTAGTTTTATTTCTTGCAGCTAGCCGGATAACATAGCCTAAATACAAGAGGTCAAAATGTGGTTGAGTTTAAACAATAGAATATTATAAAAACTAGTGACTTAGAGTTTCACAGACAATGAAACACTTGCACAAGATAGATAACAGAGAAACTTTGAGAGACAATAAAATCTTCATGCCAGGGTTCATAGACTACAAGGAAGAGAAGACAGCACAACTAAGAAACATATCAGACTATAAGGGGAGAGAACCAGGATATGATTCTGGGGACATTTCTCAATCAGAAGCACTAGATAGGTATGAAAAAGAAAAATGGAACAACAGGATTTGCACCCCAACAAATGCCTGCACAGTAAAAAGATGGGAGTACATGGATATGCCCTAGAAAGATTACAGGAGTGTGAAGATTTGCACTTCAGATTCTGTGGAGTGCACCATCATTTAATCCATAATCATTAATTTTTTCTTTCCTTTGCTGTGCACTGCAAGAAGCTTTGGAGTGCATGGTAGTGCACTCTGGGTTTCCTTGGAGTGTACAGCTTCTTTTTGGATAACCACAGGAAAATTCTTTGGTGTGCAAGAAGGCAGGTCCAATCTTGAGCCTCTTATGCTGATAATAATCATGATCTTTGATCATTCTCTTCTCCAAGGCAGCAAATGCCTGTATTGTCCTTATTAGAGATGGTTGGCAGGTATCTGTTGCAGATACCCGTCATCCGCTGGCAGATACCCGCCAGCGGGTGCGGATGGCCCCTTTTCCGCAAAAACCTGGCGGGTATCCCCAAGGATACCCAAGGCCAGAAGGGGAGATGGCCGGCTGGAAGGATTTCCTTCCAGCCCGTCGAGGTAGATATGTTCTCATCTCCAGTCGAAGGAGGCCACGTGCTCATCATCCCATTCTCACCCCTCAAGGACCAGGAAATTTTCAACACTAATGGGGCCGGAGGCGCCTTTGCTGGCGGTGTTCTCACCGGATTGGTCCTCCAAAAACCAATTGATCAACACATCAAAATTGGCCACAAGCTCGGCAAAATGTGTGTTGGTCAAGTCGGCCCAAAGTTCAAGTCTTATGAATTTCAACTACATAAGCAGTAGATCTATGCTGTCCATGTGTATCATTTTTTTTTCTTTTCTTCATAGAAATTTAACCAATTTCACACCCCAGAAATTATCAAGCTTGTCTTGTGACCAATTTGTTGTGTTTGTGACCTCAAAAATAGTTGCTCACCCTTTGCCTTGTCTTCTCAAAGATCTCAGTTAGTTTCCCCTATCATTTCCCATCTTTCTGCAAGATGCAATGAAACAGAAAGGGCACACAGACAACAAACTGAGCTCAAGTCCCTCACCGGACAGCAGGGCCAGTCTCTGAGACCTAAATCCTGTGGGTCTCTGTTCCTTTACATAGGTTTCTCATAGAGAGGCTTTGCTACGCTCTTGCCCAAGACCAGCAATCGTTGTTCTGTAACAGATTTTGTGTCTGGTTCTGGCATCCAAATTGAGCCTGCTCTTCTCCAATGTATCAATCAACTCCAAGGGCCCCTTTACCCTGGAAGGAAATCCTTCCGGTCAACAAGGTACATGTACCTTGTCGACTGGGAGGAAACACTTCCAGCCAACAGCCTCACTGCCAATTTAGAGGACGGGTATCTGAGGATACCCGCCAGCGGGTGCGGATGCGGATGGCCATTTCCCCGGAAAAAGCAGCCGGATATCCGCATCCGTGTGGATATCTGGATGCTCCGGGGCCATCTCTATTCCTTATGACTGGGTACAAATCAAGTTCTCTTAGAATATCTTTATACCAATACAAGCACCAAGCTATAGTGACCCTGGTGGGAATACAGTAACAAAGTCCAAGTTGAGAATTCTCCACCATGCCTTTGAATCAGCTTTTGATTGAGGAAGACCAAATCTCTTGCCTGTCTGCTTATTGAATTCCTCACAAATTCCTACAATGTCCATGCAAAAAAGACCTGTAACATTTTAATCAAGCTTTCTGGGAGACTCTGTCAAGTCTTATTTCTTCTGAAAATGACCAGATCCAACAATATCATGACACTCATTCATAGACTCTCTCAATTCTTATTTCTTCTAATCAAACTCTCTCAAGTCTTATAGATCCAACAGCATCATGACACTCATTCATGATTATTTGGGTTTGCACATGGTCAAAAAGGACTTACATAAAGCCCTCTATTATAGAGTAATACATCTGAAATTGCAAACCTGTCCTCATGATAAGGTATAAAAAACATTTTGGGTGAGCTAGCCATAAGCTCATTACAAGTCTTCATATCATCCAGAACTCCTATAAAGTTTGATCAATCATCAACAGAAGTATGAATCTTCTTAATGGTGGCATAGCTGCTTGGAAAGTTACACACTGGCAGTCCCTCAAGTTTCTCCATCTCAAATTCTTGCTCTGAATGCAGTCCATTTCCAAATGGTGTAAGTCCCTTTTGATTGATTTTATGTGCATATCAAAACTTATAGAATCAGCTTTCCAAAGGATACATTTGCAGCAATATTGAGGACGGGGCATGTCAGTATGTTGATCAACCCCTCTGATCTCTCAAAGCAAATTTCTTGGGCCCCAAAATGTCTTCTTGGCCCCCAAAAACAACCAAATGGGATTCCGAAATTGGTGATGTGCACACTGTACATGGTTGGTTTATAATCATGAGGGCTGATTGAATGGAATTGCAAGAGGGCAGAAAGATATCTGCAGATAAGCATATGGATTTCACTTGAAGACAGTGTCAAGTATCTTTGATGGGTAAAATTATCTTTGGGTGGAAGTATTTGGTCTGAGGTTCATCAATTTTAGTGTGAATAAGATTCCAGACTCTGTTTTTTAAGTTGTACCTGGCTATTTATACTCAACTTATGGACTGAAAACTGTTGCTGATAAATAGTGTAACAGCAAATACCCACCTTTAAACTCCCCCTCAACATCCCCTGCTATAGGAAAACAGTTCAATTCCCTGTCTTGTCTGCACATTGTTACATTGCCATGAACACATGCACTTTAGCATTGTACATCGGTCTGTTTGTTTCCCTTACAGTTGTCCAAGCTCATCGACCACCTGGGTGTCCAGGCGAACAATGTCAAGGGAAAGGTGTTCCATTGTCAACCCAAGAGATGGTTCAATTATCTCTTCAGCCAAAAAGTGAATGTGGTTGGCAGTCCTCCGCACCAGGATTCAGATGCACCAATCAATGTGACAAGTCATACTACCGCTGTAACCAATGTAGCGAGATATTCAGCACAAACACAGACTATGCAGATAGAGACAAGCAACCCTGCAGTAGTCATCGCCATAAGGCATTTGTAACTTTGTCTCCCCAGAACAACCCCAGTCCCTCTGATCCCAAACCCTTCCTATACCACTTCCTGTAGTGTCATCCACCACCCATCAACACATTTCTAAGGCTTGATATCCCCTAGTGCAACACAATATTTTTCCACCTGAACCATTTGCACAAACACAATCCCTCCAAACTTGCCTAGTCCCAATCTCATCAACTAGCTGTAAGACATACTAGGCTGAGAGAGACACACAAACCCAATTATTGTTTTTCCCATGAAGCTTGGACCCTTTTCCGTTTTTTCTGGGTTGGTGGATCCCATATTTGTGTTTTCATCCTTTGATATGGTCCAGTTTTCTCCTTGACATCTGCAGCATCTGACCCAAGGCCAGCTCAACTGGCCTTCCTATGCAATCCCCCCTTTCTTGGTTCCGGAGTGGGGGGAAGAGGAAAGCAAGCTCATTTTTGGAACCAGAGAGAAACATTTACCCTGATCCACCCTTTGCTGAGGTTGCCAACCTCATCACTGTTGCACTTGAGAGAGAAGTGGGCAGTTGCAAGGCAGGGCTGTGGCTGTGGAAAAGTGGAAATTGAAGGTTGGGATAGTAAGTGCAAAAACCCAAGAAAAAAAATACACAGATCTGAGGGTTTCAATCAAAGCAGATAAATTGGATTGTGTCCACCAATCATACCAAACACAATACTTGTAAGACACAAGATTAACTAAAGCCTTACCCATTGAAGGAGGGCATGTCTCATTTTAGAAAGTGTTTTTCCGAATCCCCACGTGCTAATGTAATAAAATAAAGACCTTGTAAAATCCCATCTCAGGTTTGGGATTTTTCAAGGTCTTTGTTTTACAAACTGTTGGGAGTGCTGGTATCTATGTAGTCAGGACTCTCCCCCTTGAGATCCCCCCCCCCCTTCGACTAGAGATCAGACCTCACCATCCAGTTTCTCTTTCCCACCTTGCCAAATATTGTGGGAATTTTTTTCAGACCTCCCACCCACGCGTCGAAGAGGGAGGATGAGATCTGAGCAGGATGGGGCTGGCACCGATCGTCCTTGTTTTTCTGCTTGGATGGGTCCCTCCAACGTCTGTTCTTCAACTGCATGACTGGGGAAAACACAGAGGCGACACTGCCCGCGACCCATACCCGGCGACTGTCTTGGGGGGCTGAGTAGCACAGACCTCGGGGCAGCCAAAAGCACTAACACAGAACCGCCAGAAGGCCGAACTTAACACAAGCCCGAGTCCCTGCTGCGGCGTGGTGCACTGTAGCCGCTTGTCGAGTGTGCAAGCACCAGGGACTCTCCCGCAGGGAGAGGACTTGGGAATAATGAAGCGGTTCCGCTTGAGGGAATGTGCAAGCTTTGGTGGCAGTCGATGCTGTGAGCACCTGCAGCCCTTAGTTTTCAATGAGTTTTTTTTTTTCTCTTCATAGTTTAAATCTTGTATTTTTCTCTATGGAACTGTCAATTCAGAAATTTACTTATGTATCCCCCTATGATAAAACAAATTCATGAAACTTTGAGTTTCATGATTTTCCGAGGCCGCTGGCTAGCAAGGCCATGCCTTTTTTTGGAGTGCTCTTTTTTTCACAGCCCGTCTCTTTTTTTCCAATGTTCATGCCCAGTAAACCTTTCACATGCGTTCCGTTTGTTCCGTTTCATACGAGGGTATGGCATTATCTCTCAACGGTTGATTGCCAAATTAAAAATTTAATTGGCTGATAGAGAAAACATTAACGGACTGAGAAACTTACAAGAATCGAATGTTTTCAAAAAAAGATAGAAAAATTACAATAGATACTGTGAGGAAACTGAATCGGCAGGATTCTGGACATCATATCAGCGCTCAGCTGGGATCAAACGATGAGAGCGATAAAAAATTGAATGATTTCAAAATTGAAAAAAAGAATCCCTCTGCTTATTCTTGACATAGCCTCATGCCGACTTGTGTTGGTCAGGCATAAGCCCCGCTTGCACCTCACGACTACGGGTGCTCGCGGGCTTTGTTACGCTCGCCAGAAGGCTGGTGTGAGATGCCGTGCTTTGTGTCAGAGACAAGAGAGCAAAACCCCCTCCTGGTCTGGTCGGCATGCCCAGTGGGCCGTGCGCATTTGTCTCGTCCCGGGGGCGAAAGAGAGAATGGTGATTGCCCGTGGTGTGTTTTCTCAGGGTAGCAACCGTCGATCACCCTCTCCCGGAATGACGCATGAAGCAACTCTCGTGGGTCCATAGCTTCGGCCAGACTGCCAGTGATTGATTGCAGTTGGCTGGTTGGACTCCGTTGCTCATTAAAAGTGATCTTCCGGGACGGTTTTTCTCTATCCGCTTTGGCCCAGCAAAGCTCCCTACAACAACAAACTGGATGATCCCTGTTTATTGAGAAACCGTCGGGATCAGCGGGTCCGCCGTAGACTCTCCATGACTATGATGACGAGCTTTTGTGCGCCTTGACCAGCACCACCACCAGCTCTCCACCGAGCAAATACATCACCACCTTGCTTAAAGGATTGGCAGCGAATATAAAACAGCTTGGCTTTGAGCACTTCCTTGCTTCAATCCCATCCTCTCATCCACATTACCATCAGCTCCAGTTACTTGCAGCCGAAGCTATCCAATCTACTGTGTAAATTTGCATCCAGTTTTACCTCACTCTAAGAGTCGAGCCATCGCCATCGACTCACCTTTCAGACCCCTCGCCTAGCGCGCTCCAGCAAACACCTTTTTTCTGAGCACTCTGTAAATAAAGACATAGCCTCTTTTTTCTTTTTATTCTTCGCTTTGGTTCGAAGTCTTTCTCCAGTTACCCAACAGGCATTTATCCTACAACCATGTTTATTCGTTTTGTTATCTGCGTCTTGGGCCTTTCCGGTATGTCGATTTCCATCGCTTCGGTCACTCGAGTTTACTCACTGTTTTTCATTCGTCGACTAACCTACCTTTTTTGCATCACAACAGCACTCATCCAGCCTGCAATCTGCCTTCCTGTCTCCACTACCCGATCAATGTGAGCCTCAATTTGATCTTTTAAAAACTTATTTTTGCTTAATGTTGTTGACCCGTCCGTCCATGACTTTTTTTTTGGCCCAGCCACAGCGCAGTATCTCAAGGAAGTTCTGCCGGACGGCCGGATCTCTTCCGCCGCGAGGCCCCCGGCGACCCGGAAATCCAATACGCCCCGCTGGTGGAGCGTGGCTCCCCTAGCAATGGCTACTACACTCCAAGTGATTCGTATGGAGACTACTATCCACCCCCGAAGAAAGCGTACAGTGCGCCGGATGCGGACGGGCCTCCTAAGAAAGAAAAAGAAGGCGTCTTGAACACTCTCCTCGGCGGCCCCGTCAAACTTTTGGGTCTCGATGGGAACGGCGGCGGTCTCTTGGGTAACGTTCTAAGTTCTCGCCATTAAGCCTTTGGCGACGACGAGAACGGCAGTCTCTTTTTTGGGATTTTTTTTGTTTGTAAATAGTTAAATCTTAGGCGGTCCCGATGTGATAAAAGCAGCCAGTCCATGAACCTGTGATGGATGTATAGCTGCTCTCTGTGCTATCCTCCTTTTCCCTTCTTTGTCATGTTGTTACTCTGCCTCGCTTGATCATCAGCCTTCAATATACCTCTCTGTTCATATTTCGACCATGTTGTATAAATTGTGATCACAAACATCCAAGCAAATTTCTTCCGAAGAGTGTTATTTTGATTAGAGAACTCTCCTGTGAAGACTGGGCTATTAAGCCCCACACCCTCATGGCCTGTGATCAGGTAGGGGAAAACCCCCTTAAAAGCAAGTTGATTTGAGGTTTGCTGAAAAGATGTGCTTTGGATCCTTTATTTACTGACATTTCTCGAGGTGTGACTAAGTTCCCAAGGCTCTCAGACGAAGCTTTAGGTGGAATGAGACTGCTGTGTGTGCTGCGTTCAGATTGTATTTGTGTAGTTGAGGAAGTCATAAAGACCAGAGAACTTGTCAGGAACCACCATATCGGCTCGGAAACATTCCAAGAAAAGGATGTCTGGTCGACTGGAGCCATTCAAGCAAGCCCAAGACTATCTCCCTCGACTCAAGGCAGTCTTCTTCGGAAGATGGGACGAGGACAAAGGGTGCGAGATCACCTACCAAGTTCCCGAGAACTCCATCAGGGTCACCTCCACTGCACCCACCATCACCCCATCCGACAGCCGGGCCTCAATCGACGACGACCATCCTAGCCTCATCGATCCACGCCCTCAACAACACCAGGATCAATCCAAATACTTGTTCGAATTCACCGATGTCATCGACTTCATACTCCCCAAGGTATCGATCTACATATATATATATAGCCCTCCTCTCAACGCCATATATGATCTGACTGTTTTCGAAACATTATGTAGAAACATCTCTGCGGCCATTTGGTCACCGTCTCATCCGGATCAGTCAAGATCTTGGGCTTTCCAACATTGATCGAAGACGAAGAGAAATACGATAGGAACTTCTTCATGTTCAACTTATGCTTCGTATTCGATAAGGATTCCGAATTATTGGGCTACGAACCCATTGTCAGGAAGACTGGCAGAGTCTTGAGATCTCTGGAGGTGAGTTCTGATCGAAAAATCACAAGGTCTTTGATTTTTTGGGGACCCAAAGAAAAAACACTCAAGGACGTACTTTCTTTTTTTCCTGTAGGAAAAGAACTCATTACTCTCGACTCCTAACAATTCGAGGTTCGAAATCAAGTCGATATTAGAAGAACTATTCGAAGAATTGAATTCGTTTTCCGAGGTTTCGATTTCCTTAAACCATCAATACCCCACCCCAGGATCAGCATCAGCATCAAGATCATCCCCCTCATCTTCATCCGCAACCTCGTCTCCCTCCAGCAAACATAAAGCATCAGATCATCGACAGTCTTCACAGGAACACGAACCTCATTCAGATCCAGTGGTCTCCTCTTCCTCGGCATTGTTCTTACTAAACTTGAAGTTGTTCCCGTTCTACGGCAATCCTCCTAAGGTCGAAGATTGGAACGTGCCCATCAGTTTGGTCTCGTTCCTTAAGCTGAGATCCGAAGTCACCTGGGATCTGACGATGTTCAAAGTGCGCCTTCCTTGAATTCTTTCTTTCTTTCCTAAATGCTCATTTTCTAATTATTACTATATTTATGCTACAGTTGGTTCCCTTTATCGATGGCACAGCAACCGTACGAAAGATTTCTCGCTTGGCTGATGTGGATATATATTTGACACGAGAGTGTATCCAGCATCTAGTGTGAGGCATTCCTGGCTGTTTCCATTCATACACATATTACAAATCGAATCTCATGTTCTATATTCTCTGCTGTTGATCTAGGTTTTTTGGATGCTGTATCATCACCGATCCGTTCAGGTTCTCGAATTCTTACAAGTTAATTGGAGGGCCGATGCTAGACCTATTGGGCGATTCGAATGATTTTGAGTCGATCAAACTGCAAGAAGAATTGAAGGACTATATCCTTACTGACCCGGCTGCCAATTCATCCGACCCCCAACCACCCGAAACACCAAAGGAGAGTACTTGGAACGATGGAGGCGGCCAAGATAATCAAGCTGAATCCGATCGAGTCGGAGGATCTGATAATCAGTTTCATCAGTCTCATTATCAGGTCGATCACAATGATGATGTCGACGAATTGTTCCTGTTCAATCGTGACCATCATCGCCATCGCCATCATCATCATCATCATCCTTCCTCTCATTCAATTTCAAATCTCCTGAACCTTTACAATGAATTTAAATCTGGGATCACCGTTCATGATTGGTAAGTGATTGGACTGAATCCATTGGGGCTTAGAACTCATATCTCGCCCAACTCGCAGGATGGAACAGAATCAAGTCCATGAATTGAATATCGATGTACGACGATTCATCAGCTTTGGGACGATCAAAGGGTTTCTGAAGAGGGTGAACTGCTATCCGATCTGGGCCCTTCATCCCGACCTCTGTCCACCCCAACAAGCGGCCAAGAACACGCTGGACGATGATGAGGATCAACAGCAGGTTCACGAGCTCCGCTCCGCTCCTTTGCCTCGGTCGCAGTCGTTCACTCGTGGTGGCCGCCAGCGAGGCGGGCGTCACGTCTCCCATCGGATGAGCTCCTCCAACATCCGTCAGCCGGCCTGGCTGGCCGTCCTCAAGCGTCTCAACCATCCCCATCCGCTCCTCTCCCCGCCTATCAGCCTCTCCCACGAACTCTACTTTGACCCAACCCACCCCGCTCATCCAGACGATGCGAAGAAAACCCCGCGCAAGAAACCTCTTTCGTCTCGTAAATCAACCCTCGTCTCTGACCCTCAACACTACCACCATAACCATCATCATCATCATCATCATCATCACAATCCCACGCGACAGAACAGTCATCCTCACCATCACCACCTCTCCGTCGCCGTTCAAGTCCCTAAGGACTTGCCCCTCAAACTCAACGGCGCTCACCACCTCGACGAGCTCTGCGTCGAGTTCAAGATCAGCTTGGTCCAGCTAGAACAGATCCTCCGTTACATCGATACACTCTCCCTCGAGGAAATCACCCTCTCTCCTCACCCTTCTTCCATCGCTTTCACTCTCTCTTCTGCAATGCAAACGATCTATTATTGATCTCGAATCAACATCTTCTCCCGTCTCTTCTTACTCCGATCGACTCATTTGTCCCTTTTTCTTTGCAGGAATTGTGGTTGTTATTTTATTCGTTACTCGAAAGATTATGTATAACGTGTATTGTACAACATGAATGGGCTCACATGTACACGTAAAATCACTTTTTATCGCTCTGTCTTTTTTTTGGGGGGAGGGTTCTGGCTTGGGTAGGTTTTTGTTTGTATTAAAAACAGGAGGAAAAGGACATGCAAGGATGAAGAGAGATGTTAGCGAGGACCTCTGGCGACCTGAAACCGAGGAGGGACGGGGCCACGGGAGACGAGTGGATTGAGACGTTTGGATGGTGTTCCTTGCTCGAGGGATTCGGGTGGGGCGCGTTTAGGGATGGGAATTTGGGGACGGGGCTTGCGCGGATCGGGGCGAATGACGATTCCGTCCTTAGGCTGGAGCTCCTCATCATGGTAGACGAACCTTCCGAAAGGCGAGTTGGTCTCCGTGCGAAGATCGAGTCTCGCGGGAATGTTCATGGTTTGATTGGCAGCGCGTCGCGGTTGTTGGACAGCCTCCTGCAGTCGTCTGACAGGCTGGCCGACTCTGTTGGACGTCGGGGCTATTCGCGAGGGAGTGGGCATCGGCATCGGTCTGATTCTGGGGTCATGTGCGTTCCGAGGCTCGAGCGGTATCCGGGAGGTTTGTTTTGTCCGCAAGTGACTCGCCGATCTCGCGGCTCCCCCCACACTTTCTTGCATCGGCTCCCGCCGGCTCGGCACCATTGCAACCCGTGGTTGATGATCCTCAAATCCCTGGTCTTCATCCTCCGGGATCGCCCCCAATTGCTGGTTGTAAACCCGTCGATCATCGCTCGGAAAGTATTCCATCTGGTGCACATCTTCCCCGGTCCTCTGTCGTCGGTTAGGATTCAATCGAGCGTTCCCATGGCTGTTGTAGAGAGATAATCTTCAAACTTTGAAATCGCAGAAAAAATAATAATAAACCAAGTTCCAAAAAAAAACCTGTCTCTTTACCTCATGTTAGCCAATGGGTGTTCCGGATTGGCTCCACGACTGATAGTCCTGGGGATCTGGACAGCCGTGTTGGAATTGAAACTTGTTGCAGTCTGTGGACGACTGATCAATGGAGCTGCTTGCGGTGGAATGTGCCGGTCGTGGAAAGCCTCTTGTTGGAACGAGCTCCTTCTGGCTCCGCGGGCTCTGTCGATCACAGTGGGTAAATATCAGCTCTCCTGGTCACAAGAAAATCAGAAAGAGATTTCTGCTGAGTTAAGAGAGTGAAGATAGTAGGACTGTGTGCAATACATGATTCCTGGGGCTCGATGTCCTTGGTGTGCATCTAGCGTAGTTCGACGCTTGAGCGGTTTAGAGGCCTGCTGGTCGAGTTGATCCAGATTGATAGGAAGCTGATGAGCGGGTCTGGGTGAACGCTGCTGGAGTTGCAGTTTGAGGTTACGGAGCTGGAGCCTAAGGTCATGGACCTGGTGCTTAAGGATCGGCACCTCCTGGTCTGAGTTGGCCTGGTTTTGGCGCAAGGCTTGTCGCTGGACCTGGACGAGATGGTTCAAGTTTCTGATCCTCATTCTCATCTGTCGGTTTTGGAAGGAGAGGACTGAGTCCAGCCGTTCAGTCATCGAATGGGGACTTTCGAAGAACTCCTTGATCGCCGGGTGGATCGGTTTCTGTCGGTTGAGCTCATACACTGCCGAGCGAAAGCCACGACATGATGGGATTGGACACCGATGGTGCTGGGTTGGGTCGACTTGGGTGGCTAAAGTGAACCAACCCCTGCTCGATTAGTTTTTAACGAAAACATCCCAGAAAGAAGGATGAGAACAGATAAGGTGCATACGATTAGAGTGGCCTAGACAGGGCGTGCAAGCCTGATAGACATGCAGACAGAAGGAAACAATGGTCAACAGCGATGAAAAATGGCGAGGTAACCATGAACAGATCGATCTGTTTGAGAGTCAGACACAGGTGGACGGACCAAATGACCGCACTCCATTAACCAGAACGATTTTGGTTTGTGAGAGGAATGAGAGGCACGATGACTGGAGAAGTCATCGGTACAGTTGGAACAACCCAGATACTCGAATGGGTCTTGGTTTTCGTCGGTGTTCGACGAGCTCTCATGAGTCGAGGCCATCAGTGTCCTCCGCTCGTGCTCCGGCGCTCTCAGGGAAGTCGAGCCTTGTGCAGTGGTCGGCCTCCTGGGATGACTGGTCGTTGGGAGTTGGTGATGTGACATTGGTTTAAGATAGATTAGAAACTTGAAGGTGTTTTGTTGAGCAGCAGCCTGTTTCTTAAATAATTTGTTAAGAATATCTTCCTGTTGACCATTTGACCATCCAGCCTTGGCTCTTGGGTGTGCACCAATTCATTCCCGCATCTCTTCCAACATCTCAGAGCAGCCGTATCTATCGGCTGACCAGTTATAAGCGAGTCACTCGAACTGGCGGCAGATAAGGCCAAATGTAAGCTCTCATGAGCCGACGATCATCATCCACATCGGCGTGGATGGATGGGCTCGGGTAGGGTGCTCGGTTGAGCTCCTCGGACTCGGAGGGGACTTGCGGAATCTCGGCTCGGGTGCAAAATTCAAATGGAGTTGATGCTCCGACTGGAGGGCCGGCTGCCAATTGGAGTGTTGGGCTGCCGGTCGAGTGCTTTCCTTCATTTTCTCGAATCTCATCCATCATCCATTATATATTGTCATCTTGTAAATTTAAACACACAAGATCTTCCAATTTCATAAATATATCATTCACAAGGCTATAACGTAATAAGAATCCTCAAACTGCTCGGCCATCAAGCCATTCGAATCTCGCATTCTCCGTCATCAACGTCTCGTATGTTATAACCAGCAATTTGATCATCCATGAACGCCTGAAAGCTTATATTGCCCGCTAAACCGAATGGACTGACCTATTCTTTTGCTGAACGCAGGTCTTTGTTTCACAAAACACCAACTGGTGAGTGTGACCAGGTCTGGCCAGGTCGCATGGCGCCGACCGGAAGCACATACAGAATGACTTGGAAGAGCTTCGGGACGAGCTAAAATCGGTGCCGGTTGCACACTAGAAATTCGCCCACCCGTTCCCCATCGATCAATCAGGGAAAAGTCGAAAGGACGCATTGATCGTCTCTCTACATGCATTTGAGGACTGACGGCCTTCGTTGTATGTATCATGGTAACAATCATATCTCCAGATTCGGGTACATAGAAGACTGATGAACACAGCTCTAACTTCCAGAGGACGCATACACCCACAGGGCTTGTAGCTCATGGGTTCTTCCAGCCCTCATGGCCCTCCCGAAAGGTTTATAATAATTTTTCATACAGATTGTTATGTAGGCCGCTTCCAGGCTGTCCTCACGCCGAGACTGTCGCTAAAGAGGTTGCTTCTCCAGTGACCTCCACTCCTTAGAAATACGCCTTCCGAGTGGCGGCTATGGATTCTGGCTTCATCGGCTCTTCATACATATTCGGTACATGCCGCCATCCACAAAACGGTCGCACGGGGAAGGCCGCTTGCGCCGTCAGCAGTATTGAGGAATTCCAACCAACTTGATCGAGTCTTCTGGCCCAGATGTGGTGTTCTATTTATGTTAGTGTGCCTTTTGCATTGGGGTTGCTCTAGTGAGACTGACCAAACAATTTAACTTCATCAAGGGTTTTTCGTATCCTGACAATAATAATCCGCATCAACACCTCTGTATAAACGTCTTCTTCCAGACACTCATTCAACTTCACCCATCACTATTACCCTTTCATTGTACCCCATTGTAGCACCGCACTCACAGCACTTCCGTCTTGTTAAATAGAGCTGGCATGAGATATGTCAAGATTCTTAGGTAGCTTGATCATATTTCTGTCTCTATTCTTCACCGTCTTGGCGAAAATCCAGTTACTTGCTCAAAACTTCAAACTTGCCGACGGCTCAGTCAGAAACGTGAAGTTGATTTGGACATCGGACACCAAGGCAGAGGTGTTTCGTGTCTATCGCAAGTCGCTCAACTCGGACTTCACGATCCTTGCCACGGGAAGTTTCAGGAGTTATGACGATTACGAGGTACCTGAGGGCCCACACGTTTATCAAGTCTGGAGCCTTGGTGATCCTGTCGAGGGCTCGAATCTTCTAACCAAAAACCCACCGCAAGCTGAAAACTTGCAAGGCTTTAGCACGTATGACAACATCAAGTCTGACAAACTGGATCTGCGTTCCAAAATCTATCTGGATGGTGTATACTACGATTATCACATGGGATGGGACAATAATGGAACGACTGGAGTCAAAGAACTTATCTCGGTCGATGGCTTCACCTTTACAGAGCACAGAACCGTTTTGACTAGGAAGGACATTTGCACCAACGATAAATCGGGCTTTTGCAAGTTAGAATCCGTTTCGTTTTCTCAACATCCAACGACCAAGGAGGTAGTGATGTGGGCACATTGGGAAGAAAAGGACGGGTATAAAAAAGGTTATGTTGCCGTCGCCTACGGCAAACCTGGCCAAGAACGCTGGAAATTTGGCGGATCCTTCAGACCGCTGAACCATGACTCGCGCGATCTTAACTTCTTCGCCGATGACGACCACTCGGGCTATGTGATTTCCTCGACCAACACCAACCGAGACATGAACATTTACCGGCTCACCCCAGACTGGCACCACATCAAGGAGCTAGTCGTCACCGTTCTGAAGGGACAGGCACGCGAGGCACCGGCGATGATCCACTATGGCGGGATGTATTATCTGTTCACCTCGATAGCCACCGGGTGGTATCCGTCCACAGGCAAGTACATCTCTGCCCCAAAAATCTCCGGCCCCTGGAGCGAGAACCGGGTCATGGGCAACCTCGGCGGGTTCTCAGCCCAATCCGGCGACATTATCAAGATCGGTCCCACCTATGTCATGCGCGCTAATAAATGGAGGATCCCGGATATAGACCCGCCTGGGACTCCGCTTCGTCAAGTCATCCTGCCCATCAGCTTGTCAAACGGGACTGCTACTTACGCCTTCTATCCAAAGGTGCTCTACCGGGACACTGGGGACCTAGTCGGCGTTTATGGGCTTCAAAATGGAAGGATAGTTTCGATTGGAAGACCAGTTACCTCTACTGGCGCCGATAAAGGTATTTTTTCCCCCCGGGTTTCCCCTTCCATCAACCCGGTATTTCAATCCGGGTTAGATCTTTGGGAAAGCTATCATGCACTGACCATTTTTTCTTTGTTGTTGTCCGCTAGACCACCCTGAATACTTAGCTACTAGTGGAGTCAACACAAAGGCGCAAAGATTTTACAAGCCGACGGCCGTGCCATTCATCCATGCGATCGACCTTGGGGCGGTGTACGAGATAAGCCACATCGAGCTGACCACATCCCTAGTTCCGGGCAGCGAGTCCGCGGCCCAGTTCATCATCGAGGGCAGTCTTCAAGTCACAGGCCCCTTCACGCCCTTTCTCGACCAATCTAACAATACCCGCGTCGGCTTTGTCTCTGCACCCGTGCTCAACAACTTTAACTGCCGATATGTCGCCCTTAGGGTTCACAAAATCACCAATATGCATAACAAACACCCTGCTACACCTGGTATCCATGAGTTTACCGTTTTTGGAAAGGCCCCTTCGAATCCCACCCTTGCTTCGCAAGCAGGTGAATCTCAAAATAATGGATTCACTTGAACAAAATTACTCTTCTTATAAATGGACTACCCTCTCGGGCTTTGCTCACAACACTGCTGGACGTTTTTCTTTTGCGTTTTTTTAGAAACTTTTTATACATAGTAAAACAAGTTTTACTTAATAGATATCATTAAATGATCAACAGAAAGAAAAAAATAGTGTGAAAAAACATGCCAATATGAACACTAGATTCCCATTTTAATCTGGAAGTCTGATTGAATCCATCCTCTGTGATCCACATATGTTTGACACTCATAAATGCATACAATTTCTTTGCTCTCATACGTCACTTCTGCCTTTCAAGCCATGTGGTTCTGCTGGTCTTTCAAGCAGGATTTCACCCAGGATATCTCAGCAATTTACAGAATTTTTCCTTCTGATATTTTGTATGCCCATCAATCTGAGGATCCATGCTTGACTCATTGGGAGTGGCTAGGAGTCCAGAAGTGAAATGCAGGCCCACATGAATAATTTGAATAAAAATGACAAGAGAAGACACAGATGTCTGAAAAAGACATGTGCCTGTGAGCCTGTGAGGATACTGAGAATGTGCCTAGTACCTGGTGCATTTTTATGCCTGGAAATCAAAAATTCTTTTCAGTCAGTTTTCAGTTCTGATCTGGAATTTATCATGCTCTCAAAATATGCCTAACAGTTTCTTGATTATGATTGGGGAATAGTGAAAAATATTGATAGTCTCTCATACTCATTTTTGAATTCTTTCATAATTGTGATTCCACACTGCCTTGTAGATATATACTGAATCAGGTTTTGCTTTGTAGAGGAAAAGACCACTGGAAAACCACTGCTCAGATTTTGTTCCTGTTGTGCCAACTTGATCACACAAGTGAGATTCTGATTCCATGTGGGGTGCAGCTACCTTGGGTGGGACTTTGGTATCACAACAGATTGATGGAATTATAATGTGCTCATCTCAACATGCTTTCTTTTGATCGGGCTCTGAATTTCATGAGTGCAAACCCTCTTGTTTGTGCTGTCCGTTGTCAGAAAAAGCCAAACCCCTGCCTGCTGTAATTGCAAGAGGGGTTCCATTATTTCTGTCGAGGGACTGCATATTTGATAACAAGACTAGTACAAAGTAAGCTAAAGTTGAACCTCCATTGACATATAAAGCTTCATCATGCAGTTCAGGAGGTAACTGCAATCCGTTGATCCGAGCCGTCGTCGGACTCGGACAGAACAACGCATTGCATTTGCGGGGGCCGCTTCAGCGGCTGCGTGCTGCGCATGCAAGCCTAAGTTTTTGAAGCATGCAACTTGCAGAGAGCAACTTCCTGATCCAAAGCTGGAGACAACATTAAATTCGGACAGAACTTTTAACTAGCCACGTGCCGACCAGGACCGGTCGCATTTGATTCGTTGAACATGGGTGTTCAAAAGAAAAAACTTACTCGTCAGTCTGTACGATTCTGCTCTCTTCATGGAAAGCCGAGCTGATTGTTACATTCTGATTTTTGCCGCAAATAACTCTGATCCAGGTCTGGAAAGACGAGCTCAACCGATGCAGGATGTCGTTCCACATGAACCTCCCATGACCAACGAAGATTCAAGAAATCCAACGCCTACATCTACATCTACCATTAAAAACTCGAAACAACTCGACCTCAAGGACAGCCGAACAACTAGAAAACCAAAAGCTATGAGTAACAAACAAAAGTTGAAGATTCAAAGGGGCGTCGAAATCTCCGATCGAATCCAAAACAAAACATCCAAAAAACACGCAAGAAAAGAGAATCGTCAAGCAGCCAAGAAGATTTACGAATAACCGAGAGCACACGTAAATACATTTAATCGCTTGCAATGTATCCACCCGGACAGAACTACAAGTAAATCGACTACACCAATCTAAAAACTACTCCAGAGACTCTTTAGAAAAAAAATTATGTAAAAGAGAGTCTTAACTGCAGTCAGCTTGAACAGTTCATTCGTTTCAAATCTATCCCTTCCGATACGCGTCTTTTTCGCAATAGGATCAAAATGTTCATGCTCCGAGATATGTTCTTTGTTACAAATATCATCCAAATTCAGCTAATTTATATACCGGTATCTCGAGCTTGATGCTCTATTTTTGCGCTTGAATTCGAGAAAATAGCTTTGAATTGACGTCGCACCATCAACCGCACAGTGAATCAGTATCAATTTGGCTATCAAAGACCTTGAAATACCACCAATGATTTAGAAGGAAACTGGCAATTATACTGTGTTGTAAGACATAGTCTCCTTGCAATGTCCACTAGAGGTGTTCACAACTTCTAAAGCCCAGTTAAAAATGAAAAGGCTGTACTGAGTGAGAACCCTGGATACCCCCTATAAATGGGGGTAACCTAGGTGTATGATATTTTGGTAAAAATTCAACAAGGTATGCACCTTCATCTTCTTTTTACTTTTTCACACATTTTTAGATTTATTTTTGCAAAGAAAAAAAAGTGGGTTGGGATGCTCCAGTCCCAGAAGGGAAGTGCTGCAAACTATAGCCCTGGAGAAGAAAAACCCATTGGTTGGAGGCCCCCTGGAAGAATTGAATATCATACGAATGGTTTCCAACATTGAATTGAATATTGTGTGTGTGTTTTTTCAGCCATTCTTGGCCCCTAGGGGGAGGGTAGCCACGAAATGGGTGTGAATAGCTTTAGAAACTGCATGAACTTTGGGCAAAATCCAGTATAACACATAATTATGAGATCATAGTCTGCCGGTAGCCTGTTTGATTGACTGTAGCTAATCTATGTGGTCTTTGAAACCTAGAATGCAGCTGCTCATCAAATATTCTTGTCTCTATGCATATAATTTCCTCTTGATTATTATTGTAATAATGTGATTTATTCATCAGCTCAACCACATGTGGTACACATTGTATTTAGTCTGTATACACTAGCTATCATACATGGGAAGTGAGAAGTCCACTAGGGGATGTCACCAATGTCCAAGCGCACGAGTGCACAAATGAAGACTGGACTGGAAGACCGTCTTAAGACTAAAGGGGGCTCAGCCCCCCCTAGCTTCAATCTCAGCTAATTAGCTGCCTTCTACAGCTGATCAGTGGGAGACTTCCCACTGATCAGTAACCCTTAATCTATGAGTGAAAAGTCTAAATGCTCCAACACATAATATGATGAAATTTGATGAGTATCCATCTCCAGAGGCCACATAAGGTTTGAAATTCAGATGCACAGGTTGTGAATTAAGAAGTCAAGACCAATGTGAATTTCTCAACTGTATTCTGAATCTAAATCTACACCTTTTTTAGAATGTTGTAACTGTAATTGTAGCTAATGTGGTTTGGAAGTAGAAACAAAACACTCAGATAAAGTGATATTACACTAAATTCAACTCAATGCTGTCATCTTTTGTCATGGATGTAAGATAAATGAAGCTATCAGAACAAACCTTGAGCTCCACAACCCAAAAGTGGGCCACTACCCTAAGCTGGGATTTTTGGGCAAAACATGTTAGCACAGCAGCTTTTTTTCTTTGCAGAAATTCTAAAGTGTTGGTACAATGTCAGTGAATTTTGCAATCCTACAGGTCCCAATTTCTGATAACCAGTGCACATAGTGGGTACATTTTGGGGGACCTGTGTGTGTAGAATTAGTACAGACATGGCAGAATTCTTCTGTTCTAAACCAAATTGTAGCAGAATTCTGATAAATTATGCTGTACTAACACTACCATTATCATAAATGGATCATTGATGCCACAACCCAAATTAAGTGGATGTATTAATTGATGCCACAACCCAAATTAAGTGGATGTATTAATTGATCAATAATGTTCCAATTAATATCAAGGCCATCAGATTGACGGCCTTCTGAATGATGATTTTGGCAGCAACTTGCAGTGGAAAACTGTGCTTTTGCTTGGGTCCTGGTTTCAGGTAAGTTTTCACATTGGCTTGTCCTTGGAGTACTCCAATAATTGAATTTCCAATACTTTTATTGTTTCTCAGATTTTGTGTGAATTTAAATCAATCTCCTGAGCAACACCACAAAACACTTGATTGAATTGCTTGGTAGGCCTGTAATACCTGGCAAGGTGTCATCAGCCGGTGCTGCTGTTTCTGTTAGCAGTGCTTTTTTCACAGTATACCCATTCAGACACCAGATATTTGTTGGCTTCAATGTACCAGGGTATGTGACATCCCAAAAAAGTGGCAAACTTACATTTGGGATTTGTGAGGATGGCCGGAAGAAATAAAATTTGAATCAATTAAAAACCTGAAAGGGACATCATGGATCAGCTTACACAACTTCATCAGCTCTTGCAAGGTTCCACCATCAGCAGTGACCATGACAGTGAACATGCTCCAACCAAATCCTGAGTGAGCAAGCAGGAATCAATAGAGATATTATCAATAGCTATTTCTTCAGCCTCCAATTGACTATTACCAATCTTGACCTCAAATTGATCATGAATCCCTTTTATGACAGCTTAATTTTGAGTTTTCCATTGTTGGTACCCTTTTCTAGCCCAGCTTGGATGAGGAAAGGCCACAAAATTAATTTCTGTCCATTTGTAATTCCTTTTTGGTCTTATCAGTACATTTTGATCAAGATGATGGCTGCTCATCTGACTCCTTTTCTTCACTGTCCTTGGACTATTACTTTGTTTCCTCTTCCTCCTTTGAAGTGTGAGTGCTTGGTTCTCTGGCGGATGCTTTGCTTTTCAATTATGCCTTTTTGGCTGAGTGTGGCAAAGATGGATAGTCACTCTACCCACCGAGGGTAGAGTTTGTAACCTTTTTTGGCTGGTGTCATTATTTTTTTGGTAACAGCAGTGTCATTTACAATTTTGCTACCAGAGGAGCTTGAATTTTACAGACTGTTACAATATTTGTGCACTGAGCGGCCGATATCAACTGAGATTACCAGCAATAAAAAAAGGTCAAGTTTACGGATAATTTGGCCTTTCATTGCTTTTTATTGTGTTGTGCATTGTGGGGGATAACACAATGCTTAACTGGTAATGGCCTCAACAAAAGAGGCCTGCTCCAATACCCATTATGTCATTTATTGATGTGTTATTAATGATGCTAAGTGCACACAAGGGTAACAATAAAAGTAAATTTCTTAACTACGTGTTGATTGTGGTATGGTGGGGGTTTAGGTTTTGACAAGGCTAGGGTCTAAAACGTGTGATTTGAATACCATTCCTTAGTCAAGGTTTCAAATTGCATGGAGGTGTTGAGGGATTGGCAAAATATGAGTGATGGATGGGGAGATGAGAATCAAGAATCCTAGACAAAAAATTGGACTTAGATAATTCTCTGTTAATCAGGATTTGGAAGATGATCAGTAGTTTGCTGAGGTGCAGTTTGTGGTCCATGGACCATGGTGTATGCAGGATTTTGAACTTGAACTTGACCCTGGGATTCTAATTGCAATGGTACAGGGCCTGTATGAACTTAAAACTCAAAAGTGGTCAACAAGCTAAGGGCTTGTACCATAATGATATGGCATGAAAATTCAATTTTTCATAATTTTTCAGAATTGATATTCCTCAAATTCTCATATAATCAAAAGTGACCATCACCAAAAGCCATTGAAAAACTCAAATATGAATAATTAGGAGACAGAAAAAATGACCATTTTTCAAAATTCACTCCTATGGTACAGGCCCTAAAATCACAATCCTAATTTCCTAAGCTTTAATGGTCAAGACTGGATTTTCAAGATCAATCTTTGGACTTGAGATCTCTAACTGGGTGTGAATTGTGACAGGATAATGATTCCCTCTGCTCTTCATTGCTCATTTTTGTCACATTGAACAATGGCCACCAAACTACCAAAACCTCAAAGTCCAGCTCACAGGGATTCCCTCTGAGCACTCCACAGTATAAGCAATCTTGCAATGAACCTTTATTCAAACTTCACCAGAGGTTGAAAGTTACGTAAAACAAGATCAGGGGCTACAAACACAGATGAGATATCTGTATCATCCAGGCCTGAGAAACATCCCCAGTCATCTGGTGTGAACTTGTTCAAGGTTTTATGATGGGAGACTTTCCAATATTCTAGGGCACACCATGTTCACTTCTGTTTTATGAAGTATGCACACTGAGATTCATATGACCTTACCTGGTGAGGGTTCCAAGTCTCCTCACAATGGCCATAAGCAAACATTGCTATTGGGCATGCCACAAGCCGCTCCCTCCGTTCGTGTGATCTGAACAAGAAAATAGGTTCTTTTCCATTCCGGTTTCATATCATACGTCTTATTTCCTACAATCCATGGCATACTATTGGTACTTGTTAAATAACTAAACATAGAATTAGAAGGAAGGAGTCTTCGCCAGAGAGGGGGAAAGAGAATTGGATCCATCAGATTGCTACTTCTGCGCGAACGAGAACGCAGCTAACTGATTGAAAGCAGATGATAGGACGGGACGGATTTGAATGGGGAATAATGCTTCATTGTTCCATGGTAACTTCACTTCACTAGGGAATCGTGATGACCAAGCAACTGCCCTTGCACCGCTTTCGTATTGCAGGGCGATCAGGCCATCAGGAGCGACGATAGGAGGGCGGAGCCGACGGCGAAAAGCTTGACAGCCTCGGCAGAGAGAGCAACAGCTGAGTTGGGACGAGTGGGTGGCTATGGGTGATACGTATGTGAATTGAGAACAAATGATCGGTCAGGTCTGACTTGAAACTCGCAAGTCAACAATGGAAAGAGAGAGGGGGCCAGAGTGTAAGAACTGACAGGGTTGCTGTTGACAGGAGTGCTGTTGGGAGTTGCAGAGGCTGAGCCTGTTGAGTTGGTATGGTTCCCACCGGCACCCGTTAAAGCATTGGTCGCACTATTCGCGGCACTGTTCACGCTATTCGCGGCACTGGTGACGCCGTTTGCGGCGAGCTTTACACCGGCGGCTGCGCAAGTCTGAGACGAGGGGAGGACACACGCAAAACTCTCAGTTTGACAGAACCATCATCGAGCAAACAGCAAAAAGGCCGGTGGACGAGGAGTGCGGCGGACTTACCTTGACAGCCCAGGTTTGAATATTATCTAGATCTTTAGCCGGGCAGGTCGAAGTATAGCAGGTATTACTAGCGGTGACGAAATCTTGGTTCTTGCAAAGACAGGCGAAGTCGGTCTACAACAGCGAATTCGGGTAGAATTGTAAGCGGCGTGGATTGGATAGAATGGGTCAAGAAATCAAGATCACAAACCGGGGTACATGATTTTCCGCTCGTAGCGAGTGTGGTCGTTAAGCACTGGCCGGCACAGGGGGGCAAGCCACTCAGATCTTGGCCGAGAGTAGCTGGGGCGGAAAACAACAGGCTCGAGACTAGCAAGGTGCTGAATCGTAAAGTGTTGGAAAGCATCGTGATAAGTACTGCTTAGAGGGGGATATTTTAGGATATTTTGCAATGTTTTGTGGAATGAGCTGAGTGGGTGTTACTGAGCAATTGAGCGGGAGAAGGGTGGGGGAGTGTTAGGTACTTTAAATATGGGTGGTGGTGTTGCGATTCAGGGGCGAGCTAGCGAGAGGAGGCGGGTGGCCGACAAATGGCCGGCGGGCTCTGCGGCTACGCTTGAGACAGTCGCCAAGAAGCCCCATCTGCCATTGTGTATGTAGGCTGGCAGCCACGGGCCATGAGTATGTATGCACCGCCTGTGACGCGTGTGTAAATCTAACGTTAAGTATTAAACTTATTTTATGTACGTCTTTATTTTTAGCATTGATTGTAAATTTGTACGAGAAGTATCGCACATCTGCAGAGAGTTCCAAAGTGCATGAAAGGTACGTAATGTTTGAATGCAGTGCACTAGTGCACTCTCTGGCGTTGGTTGAAGTGTTTGCATCCAGTTTGTTGTAATGGATTTGTATGGAAAAGAGGATACATAAAAGGCAGTTGCGTTTGGTAACAGGAAAAACCTCATTGCCCAAGTCTTGGCCTGGTGGCTTCAGCGTGGCCTTCTAGAAGAACAAGAAAACCAACCAACGTATCATCTGATAGGCCAATTACCGCCAACAAGGGCTTCCAAGTCGAATCCATATGTACAAAGCCGAGATCGCTTTGGTTGACAAGAAACTTTGAGGGGCTGCTGACAAACTTGCGACGCAGTTTTACAAGCTGCCTGCCCTCTTTGGAAGCATGAGGACGCATGTCCATGATCACGAGTGGCAGTCTAAGTCTCACAGATCAATCAATGAGCCCGGCCGGTCGAAATGTCTTGACAGCGTATTGATCTACATAGCTCGGGTTGGAATTTGACGATGACTAGGAAATCACCCGGTCATCCGGCGGTCACCCACTCAATGGGAAACAGGCGTTTCACTATAAGGCCCTACAACTACAATTGGTCTTTGAGGAGGCTGCAACGAGGTAAGACTTGGTCATGCCAGCTTCAAGTTGGTAGACCAGCCAGACCTGAGAACAGGTTAGAGCAACAGTTGACCGTTATTGTTGAGATTATGTCTCGGGTTTCGGCTCTCTCAGTCATACTAACCATGCTAACAATCAACTCACTGCCTATCCTTTATATTACTTTTCATTCAGGGCCTGAAGTTCTCAGCTCAAGATTAAAACATTTTATTAAGTTCGTTTACTTTATCTGTTTGATATTCTGACATTTTTTCCATTCGCAATGAATGTCATGGCTGGATTATGATGACACTTAATGCTTTTTTCGCGCTGGGTTGCACGCATTGAGCTGTGGGAGAAGGTCTTAGAGCTTGGAAGCAAGTCAGAAAAAGCTGCCAAAGCAGTCAGCCCCAGCAGTGCGATATGGTAAGATCAGATTGGGATGAGAATATGATATTTCAAGTAATGACTGTGGGTAATGGTAGGACGACAATAGCAAACACGCGCGAGATCAACACAACGTTTTACATGTTCAAAAAGATTGCCATTGAAGAGCAGAAGAGGAAGCCGATGGAAGAGGCAACCAAGCTAGCTGAGGATTTCGCGTCTTGGGCAGGCTGGTCGCGAGAGGACAAATAAAACAAATTTCAATCAATCAAAGAAGCGGAATTAATGAAAACGATGGGTGATTTAATCAGGCGTGAGACTCACAGTGGAACTGCCAGAAGAAGCTGTGGTGGTGTTGCCAGAAGAAGCTGTGGTAGTGTTTGCAGAGTTCGGAGTGGTAGCGTTGGTCGAAGCTGGCGCATGCAAGGTCACGCCTACTTGGGCGCAACTCTGTTTACAAACGGAAAAGAAGTGTTAGGTGCTTCGCCTTGAAGGGGATGAAGTAAGAGTCAAAACCAAGACGGCGTACGCTGATTCCCCAAGCACGCGCGGTGGCTAGGTCATCGCCTTTGCAAGAGCTGGTGTAGCAGTCGCCACTGGTAGTTATGAACGCGTTATTTTTGCAAAAGCATGCCGCGTCGGTCTTCAATCACGAAAACACATTAGTCAGACCTCGTTGGTGTAACTCAAGGGTTGTGATGAACTGAACATACCTGGGCACATGCATTGTTCATAGCCGAGTAGGCCGTCACGATGCAAAGCTTAGCACAAGCTGGCAATTTCTCGAACCTTTCAGCGGCACTCTGTGCATTGGTAACAGGACCAGTGGCTAACAGGGTGATTCCGAGTAAAAAGAAGGCTTTGAAGAGACTGGCGATGGTCATCATGGTGGGTTTGCTAGCTAACTGATCGACTGGACAGTGGGCAAAGAGCGATATTTAACAATTGAGTGGGAGGGTTGTAGACTTTGATGGGGTAACTCAAATGGCTCGATAGCTGGGGATTGTTATATATTCAACGAAGGGCTTTGAGGCCGCTCATTTGCTGAAAGATCACAATGACAAAGCCACTTTGACGCATTCGACTGTGCTGATGGGGAAGAAACTGGCGAGGCTTAGGCCATTGTGCGAAGGAAGAGCATGCGGCATCCCAATCAGTGATAGTAGCAGGACCCGATGCCATACTACTCGTGTTATGTCACTTCTGAGCCCAAACGAACAGTATTTGTGAGGGGAATTCCCCACAAAGAATTCGCGATCAGACATCCCCTTCGCACCATCATTAGGCAGCCGCAAAGCTTTTGTACATTGAATTTCCCCATCAACACTTCGCGGTTGCACGGTCCGCCATATCTACTCCCGAGCTTTGCTTAGGTCCTCGGTGCGGCCACAGTAGCAAATGAGCTATAATATGACATGCCTATTTAGATCATATTATGTTGAGCGGTGATTGACCCAAGACGTAGCAGTTGCGATCTACCGCTAGGACAGGCCGGGCGGAGGAAGGGAAACTCAAGCAAATGATTAAATCAGAACGCGGCATTTCCAAGTGTTGCTAAAATTATAGAGAAGAAGTGTAGTCCCTTCTATTTGTTCTGACATTGCCTCAATGTACATTTCGGCTTATATGTCTGGAATAAACTTTCCTAGATTACAGTTAAACCTTGTGTGCCATTTCGGCTTTTCTTTCATATTCCTCAATCTTGAATATTTAATTGTGCAACAAAACCCCTATCAAAAGCAGAACCATACAAAAAAAACGCAAAAACTAAGGTATGGTATTTGAACTGGTATATCTAACGATAAAATTGTGCTGAAATTGTAACTGTTCTTGTGGTCCAGTCTTGATAACAAATCCTTGATGAGGATTTCGGGAAGATGTTTCTAATACATCAATTATTATTTCCAAATGCATACAAGTGCCAATATTCTTGACAAAAACTAAGAAGAAAACAAAAGTTGTGAAGTGATGGTATTGCAACTCTGATGGGGGTGCTTGTCCATTCAGGTTACCCAGTTAAGTTGCCTGAGATTACTTTGGAGGCGGGACATTAGCCTTGGGATTCGGATCACTTGATTCAGAGTTAATGTTGAGCAGACTTTCATCCTGAGCCGAAGTCATAAGCTTAAGATTGCTGGGTGGATCACCTGATTTAGCATGGTGAGACGGATCAGCGGGCTTGTTACCGGAAGGTGGAACGACGGGCTTGATACCGGGAGGTGGAATAACTGGCTTGGTACCAGGAGGTGGAACGACTGGCTTGGTATCGAGGGGTGGGACGACTGGTTTGGTATCAGTGGGCGGGATAACTGGCTTAAGACCGGGAGGTGGGACGACTGGCTTTAAACCTGGGGGAGGTAAAGGAGTGACCTTTGAAACGGCGTCTGGTAGGCCTTTGAAAATCTTGATCGAGTTGATGGCAAAGTAAACTTCTTTATAATTGGAGCCTTTCAACAGATGATCGTAACATTTCCCTGGACATTTCCCTTGTGCGTAAGTGTTCAAGTCCGAGTCTCCGCCTTTTCATCGAACAACCGTATCAAGCATCCCAAGCAAAAAAAAAGGTGGAAAGATTAGTTGTACTGTGTTGTGCGCCAGATATAGAAACTAAAGCTAAGATCAAGATGTAAAAGAAACATGGTTGACGAACACATTGCGATATTGATGATAATGTTTTGAGGACCAAACTTTTGGTCAATGTTACAACTTGCGCCGCTTCTCCATGTAGCTGTAGGTGTGGGCCATGTTTCAGGGCGTGGAACGTTGTCCTCGATATCCTGGGGCACATCTTGACGCCGCCTATCCCGAGAACACACCTCGTAAATTAGTAACTGAGAAGAGACATCCAAGATGATGTACATGACACTTACCATCTCCAAACTGAAATTTCGGAGTTGGTGTACATTGCGGCAAATACCTGTTTTGGGTGTGGTGAGAGAGACAGACGATTAGTGAGGATGGTATCTTTCAGCGTTCGTATGGAGAAACGGGTATTCGCTTACCGCGCCGCCATTTCTGTTGAGCGTGGGACCGAAAAAATCAGTGGTGGGATCTTCAACTGAGCATCCTGCCTGTTAATTGGAGTAAGCCAAACAGGGTGATTTTTTTTAGCTCATGCATGAATACTGGAGACAGTATGATTAGCTGCTCACGTTGTAGTTTACGCTTGAGTCACATGTCTCTTGAAGTACCTTGCCGGTTTGAATACCTGTAGGGTCATGCGAACAACTAAGGAAAGAAGAAGAAGAAAAGGTCAGTGAGAATACAGACTGGCTTAAGAGTCTACAATGCGTACCCAGGTGTCGTGTGGAGAGTCGCTCTTCCGCGGGTGTTGTCATTCCATCCTTCGAAGATCTGCTCGGGTGGAATACAGGAGAAGTCAGTGGCTAAAATCACAAAGCTTGTCATCTAATGCTTCCTTACATCAATTTCACCATTTTGAGGCCAGTTCTCCCCATGCATCCAGACTGTTGCATCGTTGTCGAAAGAAAATAAAACTTACTCAAGCTGCGCACTGTGTTAAGGTGAAAAACAACAGCAACTTACAAGCAGGCCAACTGGCGCACTGAGAAATAAAATAAAAGGTTTAGCACGTCTTGCGCACAAAAAAATTGTGCAGCAAATTTTGGAAAACAGTAATGAGGTAGAGAGGACTAACGCCATAGGGTGTGTGATGAAAGTCAGCGATCACCAGCGTACCAGGATCGTAGCGTTCGAGGGATTCCAATCGGATACTGTTCCGGAGCGCTGTTTGATTATACTTGAAAACACCAGTGGTAGTATTGAGAAAGACGGCAGGCATGGTATCATTGGAAATATCCTTCTTTGTGTCGACAGCAATGATAGCGCGGGCATTTTCGTCCACATACGCCAGCATTTCCCTTTCTGCCTGCTCCTTGCCAACATAACTGTTTTTTTTTTATGAGAAAAAGAAAGCGTAGTCAGAGTGTGCCGAAGTAGTGGCACTCGTCATTTCAGAATTGGACGAAAAGTAAATTACTATGCGGCAGAGTGTGTGGTATTCTGAAAGAGTTGTTATACATATAAAGACAAAAATCCCGATGTCAGTCAGTGGTGAGGGAAAATGTGAAGAAGAGAAAAATTCTACTTACGTCCCAGCGATTGATGAAGGCCCATGAGTCAAAGAAAGTAAACCCGGAAATTGTCTGAGAGTGACTCCAAATGCTGGTTTGAGGTTGACCGGGGGCGCCCAGAGGGTTGTCTTCCTTAAGTTTGCGGCGGTGAAGTTGCATGAATGCATTATTACTGGTGTGATCTGCGAAGACAGATGTTAGGAAGCCGAGGAGAGCGGTAATAGCTTGAAGTCGAAGAACTGTTGATGCCAAAGCACCCGAACGAGGGTTGCTGAGAAGAGACAACATCTGAAGAAGCTAAAGGACGGGTGAATGAATGATGGGCAAGGAAACGTTTGGAGTAATTATGTGGCAGCACTGGGATGCTTCTGTTATCTTGAGCCAAAACCTTCAGGATCGACGTGAACGACCAGCCAACCGAATCGAGGGCCAGCAGTTTTTTTGATGAGGAAAAAAGAAAAGAACTGGGGAAAAAGGGATTATTAGTTCAACTTCAAGCCGCTTGGATACACCGGGCGTATCATTATCCCTTCGCACTACAGCCTGGTCATTACTGTATCAACGAGAGGAATCAGATTTTGAGCCGCCATGGGTAAATTTGAATGTTGTACAAATTTATACATCACACCACTTCCAAGTTCCGCCGCTTGCGCCACCGACTTCGCAGCGAGGTTGTCAATCCCATGTCAAATGGTTGCCTCTAACTCTAAACGGGTGCAGATGGGAGAGCAAGGGCGAGCGTTCTTAACAATTGGGTCATGAAGGATGCAACCGATGAGCCAGCCGTCTGAGCGGGTCACGGTTTCAACGGGTCCGAGCGGCCGGCAAGGCCATAAGAGATGTGACTTTCAAGTCTGGACGGCAAGGCAATGGTGGCAGTAATTTCGTGCAGGGAAAAGAGCAAACGACTCTTCTAGAATGGAATGATGGGGCTCAATTGGAGAACACAATTTACATCCAGCTTTCGCCAGATTTTCCATACCATTACCAGCCAACTTGACAAATGTGGTTATGAGCTCTTGCAGATTCAGGTTTCATGGGCATAAACTAGTTAGTTTGTAAGCACCTAAATTTATTGCCAAAGATTTACTTCAAAAGGTTTATCCCAGCAAGGTGTATACTGTAGTTGTCCTGGACTGCTTTATCTCATCTACACACTAGGTAGCCCAATGTGTGGTGTAATTCAAATTGTTGTGTTTTTTCTTTCTCCATGAAGGAAAACCAATAATTTTTAATGGGTCTTAGTTAATCAACTCCCAAAAGGTGGGAGGTCTGACTTCCATTCTTGAGAGACATCTGAGTGATGTAGCAATAGGAAACTCCCCCAAAGGTAAAATGCATTTCTTCAGGACTACCAGTATAAGAGCAACTCCACCGCGGGCGGCCGTTAATCGGGTCTGTAGGTGGAATTTACGGACTCGACACGACCCACCGCGGTCGCTAAAATCTACAGCAGTCTGTAAATTCTTCTCGAGAGTCCTCACATGTAGGGACTCCTAGGGACTCACCTACAGCCTCCAAACAACACTTTCACACAACAACAATGTGTGAAACTCAACCCTCACACACAACACCACCCTCAACAGTACACCTGTCATCAACTTTTACAAACCACTCCACTAAGTCACAGTGTATGCCGCAGCAGTTTGAGACTGTAAAACTGGCTGCGTGGACCCAATCATCAAGATTTTACGGCCCAGCAGTAGGGGCCGCAGTGGAACTGCTCTAATACGGGGTAATCTGAATAGCTGAATAGTCTAGTAGGTAGTGTGAAAAAATATGCAATAAATAAAAATGAGATGGGAGCTGTCATAACACTAACTTCTAAGGATGTCCTGCCCCCCTGTCAAAAAGTTATAATAAAGGTGGTCCTTTTGTGGTCCTCTTTGGGCCAGTACCATAGGGCACAAAAATTCAATTTTTCAGAATTTATCTTACTCAAATTATCATTTCATCAAAATTGAACATAAACAGAAGCCAGTGGATGACTTCCCGTCGCGGTTTAGAGCATCTCCAACGGACCCACAATCAGGTGTCCGGGGGCAAACTTTGGCAGGCCGGGTGTCCATTTTCCGCTCCAACGGACCTGTGACATGGCCCTCAACAAATTGCTGGGGGCAATCAAACCCGCGGTCCCCTTCTGAGTTCTGCCAGTCAACTCCCAGCCGCAATTCCCCATTCCTCCCCATTCCTCTACGATCCAACATACAATGCCGCAAAAAAAGACCCCACAACAAATAATGGACGACCTGGATCCTCCTTCTTCAAACCCAACTCCAGCACCAAGCTCTCCAAAGAAAAAAAAGAAGCAATCCAAAGCAAAATCAAGTTTGCAAACATCCACCACCAATGTTTCAACCCCCAAACCTACTGAAAATTCCACCCTCAACAATGTTGCCACCCCGAAAGCTGACCAGCACCAACACTGGGTCTATACTTTACGGTTATTGGTATAGTATTGTTATAGTATATATATTTCCAACTTTACTATAAAGGGTGTGGTTATAGTCTGATTTTCAGGGCCCTTTACTATAACTGAGGAGAACAGGAAATTCTTTTGGGTGATATACTCTACTATAACCTGCCCTGGATGCTGCTAAAAACATCTAAAGCTACTTGTGAGGGTCTCTTGACCATAGAAGGGCCCTCTGGAGTTCATAGACACACTTCATGGTTGATAAAGACAAGGCGCTTGCAAAATAGGTGAATTTTGGAGCCAAAAAAAGTGGCCTATACTATACCAAGCTTGGTGGGAAACACACTGGTTATAGTATTGGTATAGTAAATAGAAATTTGAGGAAACTTTACTATACTGAAAGGGGTCAGTTATAGTAAAGTATAGTATAGACCCATTGCTGCCAGCACCCAACTCCCAAGAAAAGTTTTCCTCAATGGTCCATCAAAGAGGACAAGAAGCTCTGCATCGCTTGGTTGAATACTAGTCGCGACCCGATCGTTGGGAATGGGCAGAAGGCCACCACTTTTTGGGAGCAAATCCACGCTGTTAGAACTCCTTTGGGAATGGTGGCAGTCCTGTGAGGGAGAAATAACAAATATGATATTGTGCTTGTTTGATATGGTATTGCAAGTGTGCCTGGGCACAGGCCCAAGTTGGGCCAAAAACAGGCCAAGCGCTCTGGGGTGATCTTAAAGCACACTTGGCCAATTGTAAAGCCCGTGTAGCACCCTCCCAACCCCCACTTGGCATATTTCAAACTTGTCAGGGGTTGGCACAAAGCCTCGCTTGGCCGAAATCAAGCGAGGGTGCCACGCCGCCCAAAAGTCAATGCACCCCATAACTCAGTGCATTGATAAATGCACTCCCTTTCCCGTCCCGCACGCCCACACACACACCCCTCCAAAAAGGGTGTGCAATCCCACCCGTCCGTCTCTGAGGGGCAGTTTATGGTTACTCACCCGCCTGTTTGCTGACATTTGCAACAAGAGGGGTGTGCAGTACAACCCGCCCAAAAAAGGGTGGGTTGGCCTGCACACCTGATCTGGAGGGCCAGGAAGAATCCCTCCCGGCCATTGAGACTTGTACATTCTCAATGGCTGGGATGTTTGCCTCTGACGCCTTTGTTCACAATTGAAGCGCATTACGGAGTTGATCCAAAATTGAGGTTGAATTCAGCCAAGCTGAGGCCCATCAAGTAAAACAAGCCCATGAGTAAACATCCACAATGTCAATTTTGGTCATGAAAGTGAGAATCTTGGGTGCCCTACTGTGAAAACTCAACCCAAAACAGGTTTCACAAGGGTATCACATAAATAAACATTGTAGATAAAATATTAATTCTTGACTTCATCTTTCCTAGTTCAGTAGAGGTTCACTAACCTCCATCACTACTAGTACTGAACTACCAATACATACAGTTGGTGGTTCTAGAATCTCCTTGGACTATTGTCCTTACATCCCACAATCACATATCCAAAACCCAATGAAGGACTAAATAGTCCTTAAACCTACACCCAAGGCAGGTAAACTGGGATGCTGAATGTGTGATATGTATGGATGTGAGTACAAATTGAGTGAAGGTGATTGATCTATGGCCAGGTTTCACTCAAAAACATTTTTGCTAACAGGATGCAGAGTGAAGCCAGATTCACACTTGCATATTTTTTCTTACATCCTGGAGTGATCTGGGTCCCAAGGTGTAAATGAGGTTGACACTCTGCTGTGCAGTTGCTCTCAGGCCTGAATTTAGTTGCCCTTCCCCTTTTCACTTGGTTGAGTTCCACTAAAAATGGGCCAGTTACACTAACAGTGAAGGAGTTCCCATCATTTAAATTTGATCATTTATAAGGAAGGGCTGAACCTTGTTTTCTGGTGAAAATTGTTTGAAATTGAGATTTCACCAGCAAATAAAGTTTAGCCAGTCCCTGTAAGTCAAGCCATATGGGTTGTCAGCCACAGAGTACCTTTCACAGTATGTGAAATGTACCTAGTAACTGCAAATAATAATAACTAATTGAATACAGGAAAATATTATACATTGTTGTTAAAATAATAAATAGATAAATATGTATTTACATTTAATTTCAATTCATAATTTATATTTAATAATTATATAATTAACTGTGAAATCCCCTTGAGTATTGTACATATGATATCACTAGGATTTCACAGAAATAGCTTTAGAATAAGGTATTAAAACAATGTTTATTCTTATACATTATGTACATATTTTATAATACACAAATTAATAATATATGTATAAGAATCAGCTAGTAGAAGTGTGAAATGGAGGAGGAATAAGCTATATAAATTTATCTGAAGCTTACCCATCCTTGATCACATCATCAGGGCATCAGATTGCATCATCACCCTCTTGGATGGCGTCATCAGGACCCTTTTTTGCTCTAATTCAAAGCTTGCATAATTCAAAGTAGCCTACACGGGAAAGGAGCCCAAATTCTACATACAAGACTGAATTATGCATGAAGCACATGCATTTATCATGATCACAAGCTTGCATAAGCAGATTTACACGTATACAACTAACTCTACAATTGCACAGCCTTTAACTGCAGCCTTTCAATTACGTGAGAAATAGGCCACAAAACTCAATTATGCACGTATGATCTCATGTCCTAGGACCTTCCACCCATGCATAGCACTGCACAGCTACAGCTTCCATCCTTACACGAAATTGTAGAGCTGCTAAGAAGCTCCCTAGTGCACTGAGGGCCTCTCCTCTTCCCCTGAGCCCCCTGTAGAATATTTAAGGAGCCCTGATTCCTACCTTTTCCCCCCAGGAAATTCTAGTAGCATCAAACCAACACTTTTACTGTGATTATTAGTGACTTAGACCACCAATAACTCTACAACTCAGCTACCTTAGACCTAAATAGATTTACTTTGCTCAGATTCAAGGCATTTCTACTTATCTCTATTGCATAAAGAATTATCCCCCAGGTTAAACAATTCTGGTCCTTAAGTGTTGATACACTTATTAATCTGAATTGTTGTTAAAAGACTTATCCCAAGTGAGTTGAAGAAGTCCTCACCTTGGAAGCCTATTAATCCATGCAAGAGGATTGATCCGGATGCCCAATTGAATAATTGGATGAGTCAGCAGTAGAAGTACCATTCCTCACTGACTCCTCCCTGTTTCTTGTACAGGTTGAGGGATTTAACCACAAATAAATCTTCTTCATTACTCTTCTTGTTAACACTCAGAGCACAACCCTTACAGGTTAGTAGCATAGAGGCTGACAATGCTGCTCACACAGGCCACCAAAATGTGCCTGCTGAGCTCACACACTGGTTAGCAAGATTTTGGCCTGCTTCTAGCATAGCAAAGACCCATTAACAGGGATGCTAACACTGTGATTTGTGCACAAACAAAAAGCGGCCATGCTGATAATTTTTGGGCAAAAGGTACAGTGTAGCCTAGCGACCCATTGTTGGTGCAAACCAGTTTAAAGGTCAGTTATATCCGTTGAGTTTTCACCTCTCTAGCTACTCCTTCCCAAAATCACTTCCTCCTTCCCCATTTTTTATTTCTTGAATAGTCTTTTAAATTAGACTGGTTTATAGCCTCAAGTAGCTTGTTTTCTGTTGCCTGAATTCATTTCTGAAGTCAATGAAACTTCTTGATCTTGTCAACAACTCATGTGTCTCTGAAGCTTCTTCCTTTTTCTAATTTGGTCTGTTCATAAATTCTGATTGTTAAGAATTAATGACTCTTATACATTTGTGGTGGTATGTTTGTTTTCTCATGATTAATTTTGCTAGCTTGTCTAAAAGAGACTGAGAAGACTTGTCTGGCTATTTCTTCCATGAACTCATTCATTTCTTCCTCTCAGATTTTATTCAAAATCAATCTTTATTCATTTTCATTTCTACCACATTTTGCTCACTTGTACTTAGTCTATTTGAACCTGGCTTGTTACTTGTGAATGAAAACTCATCTGTTCTTTACACTCTTTTTCCGTGAGCCTTTCCAAAAAAAGACCCTCAACCTTTTTTGAGTCCTTTTTCTCAAAATTCCTCAAAGTTTTCCCTTCTCGAGTCTTAAAATTTCAACAATATCCCATTGTCCCTCACAATGACTACAGCAAAGGTTGGGTCATCCCCCCTAAATGCCAGAAACCTATTTGTTGCTGAATATGTTGCAGAATTTCCAAAGCAAGGCCTTGTACCAACCCAAGCTTCAGTTCCCTGTCCCATTCCTCATAGTAGAAAGGCAGATATTGAAACTCTGCCATCAGTTGTCCCATTTACAAAAGATTGTGTCTCCTATAAGGAAAAAAATTAGAAACCGAATTATTCAAGCACATTTATCCAGAAATTAAGTGCTGCAATCATAAGCCATCATTCCAAAGGTTGAGGAGGTAATTTTTTTGAAAGGGGAAGAAGCCCAATTAGTGCCCGGCTGCATCTCATTTGCACTAAGCAGATAATAGATATCGAAATTGACCACATCATCAAAACCATTTCTGAATATGAGTTATATCCCATTTGGAGGTATTAAGGCCCTGATTATAAACCAACTTTTTGGATTTCGGCTTTTTTTATTTGAAAAGTTTTTGAAAACCAAAAAGAAATCAAAAAGAAATGAAAAAAAAGTTCAAAAAGTTTCCAAAACCGATTTGAATAGTTTTGGCACTTATAAACCCGCTCGGCCCAGGGGGGCTGTATTGGGGCGGGGGGCAAATACAAGGGGGAGGAACCGCGCGAACAATCCCTTGTGGAATTTGTCGGCCCCAGGGGCCGGGCTGGACAAGGCGGAATTCACCACACAGACTGATGGGAACGGTGCCTTCAAATAAGGGTCGCTTGCAGTGTTAGAAGCGACCCGGGAGTTTGTTTCTATGATGCTGTTATTGATTCTACTACACGCATTGGGGATTGACAAGACTTATGTGTGGTCAATAGGACAACATGAACTACAAGGCTCGGGATCGATTAAGACAACATCAGGCATGAAGGTAGGAATCCAGAAGGGCCCTAGGGGGCGGCCGGTTGATTGCGGGCGGAACCCATGGTAGAGATCGTTCGTCCGTACTTTTTGCAGGTACCTGGTACCTCCTGGGGGGTACCCCTCGCACCCGCCCCGCACCCTCCAGGAGGTGCCAGGTGTGGTACTTGGTACCTATTTTTGTGATAAATTGAACAGGTACCTAGGTACCTCTACAGGTACCCCCTCACTTCCCTACCAAAAATCAAAATGATGGTGGCCTTCTACTCCAAGAACTCCAAGATCCAAGAAGTTACCTTGGCTGCATGGAAACAAGGACTCAAGGATAACAAGAAGTCTAACAAAAAATCAAAAAGGAAGGTGATGGTTTTGGATGACAATGAAGATTCTTCCAATTAGTTATAAGTTGTAGATAGTTTCAACTTTTCAATAAATTATTAAATATGAACAAATGAAAAAAGTGATCTGGGACTGATGTTTTACAATAAATATGAAAAAAATAGAAAAGTAAGATTCTTCCAATTAGATGTAGATATATTACAACAGATATTAAAAAATGCCAAAAAAGTGACTTGTGAGTGATATTTTACAATAAATATGAAAAATAATAATAATAATAAAGTGACTTGAGACTCTGGGAGTGAAACTAGGTGAAAAGGAGAGGGGGGGTACCTGAGGTACCTGCAACGGGTACCTTGGGTACCCCCCGGGAGGTGTCTGGTGCGGTACATGGTATCTATTTTCTTGAAAAATTGAACAGGTACCTAGGTATAAACAGGTACCCAGGTCCGAACAAACGATCTCTAACCCATGGTCAGGTTGGCATATCGGCGCAGGATGAGCTCGGGATCTAAGCCGTGTAATAGCGGGTAATTTGCTCGATCTTCTTGGTTGTTCAGGAAGTAAGTAGACCATGGTACATATCCATCGATCTGCTCCATTGTCTCATGGTACTGAGCTTGGATGTGATCGACAAACCCAACGATCTGGGAGGCCGCCTCGGTGTTGAACATGATCCTTTCCCTGGCCAAGGGGTCTGGGTCGGTGGCATCAGGCGCAAGGTCATCTGGTGGAACGAAGATGTTTTCGAGTCGGGCCCAATCACGGCATATCATGTCTGCATAGCCTGTCGTACGGGTGTGTCAGTATGGGTTGCCTATGATAAGAGAAGAGGGAATCCGTTGGACTTACCAGCGAATGAGAGGTAGCCGTTTGGGAATTGCCTGCGGAGATCCTCGGGTGTTTGCCGTCGGTAGTGGCATGCATGATGATACCCTTCGTGAAGCATGTATATCTTGAGGGAGATACCTACTTGTCCGCGGCCGTTAGGGTGAGGTCAAGGAGGAATCATGAGCAGGTTTCAGACTGACCATGTGGAGTCTGATGGTGGATGCCTTTGCGGATCATCTCGCGGTGAATTTCTTGGGTCAGAGGTGCCTTCAGGTCGGCTTGGATCCACCGGTCATAGTTACCTGGTGCAGAGAGCCATTCGAGGAGGACCTCTATGCTATTAGGCCGGCCGTTGACACCGCCATCGGTTTCCCAGGGGAGGGCCATGTTGGAATCGGCAAGATAAGCTGGGGTGGAGGATTTGAATGGGAGGATGAGTGAGCAAAGGGCGAGAGGGCTGCCAAGAAAGCTGGGGAAAAATATAGCTGGATGAGAACTAGGGTTAGGTTTTCCCTTGTGACCTATTTGTGGCCATACTGTTTGAGGCGATGAAACCCCCGGCCCAGGCTGTTTGGGATTGGGTCCAATCACCAAATGTACTTGGTGTCGGGGTAACTCTGGTCCATGAACATGCAGGACAATCTGACTGACGAGGTCATAGCGCTTTGGCTCCTAACACAAGACAATGAACGTCGACACGCCGGGGTCTACATCCGGGCACCGCGAGAGGCATTCCAAAGGCCGCCACGATGGGAGCCATGGGCTGACCCAAGGATCCCACCAACACGGTTTCTGGAGCTATTCAGGATGTCGGTTGAGGATTTCCGATGGTTAAGTGACAGTCTTCGGGACCTCTTGCAGCTCGATCCATTGCGGCGGGGGGATCCACTTTCGGTTGAGGCACAGGTTGCCGTTGGGTTGTACCGACTGGGCCACGGTTCCAGCTACTTGACCATCGGCCACGTCTTCAACATCGGCAAAGAGACGGCCGACAAGGCGGCGGGCCGGTTCGTCATAGCGGTTCTCCACAGGTTCCGTCTGGCCGCCATCAGGTATGTGTTCATCCAATGTGGGGTGTTTTGGCGATGGATATAGGCGCGACTGACATTCTTGGGTTTCTTGGGGGAAGCTATCCGCCGTTGGGGCGGCAGGACCAATGGGACGAGATCTCCGCTTCATTTGAGGCCAAGCATGGGATTCCCAATGTTGTGGGGGCCATCGATGGCACCCACATCCCATTGGCCGTGCCGGCTGAGGACCGATGGAAGGGCTACATTAATAGGAAAAGCTGGGTGTCGATCGTTTTTCAATGTGTCGTTGATGGAGATGGGAACTTCCGGAATGTGAGTTCGGCATGTGGCCATTCACCTGGCTTGCAGGCCAAAATCCTGTGCAAACAATGACTGACACCATAAACAGGTCAGTGGCGGGGCTCCAGGATCAATGCATGATGGGCGGCTCTTCCGGCGGCCCGAGTTGGGACATAGCATCACCGCCGGCACTATGGTCCCGGCCATGATCCCTGTGGGGACTTATCTAATTGGAGACGCAGGATATCCCTCAAATGTCCGAGTCCTCCTCCCATACCCATCAATAGCTGCGCCTGAGAACGAGCATTTTAATTTCATTCAGTCGTCGACTAGGATTATCGTCGAGCAGGCATTTGGCCGCCTCAAGAATCGCTTTAGAATCCTATTGCATCCTCAGATGGCCCGGCCGGTGAGGGCTAGGAATAATGCATTTGCTTGCATGATACTCCACAACCTGATGAACAAGCGCGGGACTTTGTTATCCCTCAAATGTCCGAGTCCTCCTCCCATACCCATCAATAGCTGCGCCTGAGAACGAGCATTTTAATTTCATTCAGTCGTCGACTAGGATTATCGTCGAGCAGGCATTTGGCCGCCTCAAGAATCGCTTTAGAATCCTATTGCATCCTCAGATGGCCCGGCCGGTGAGGGCTAGGAATAATGCATTTGCTTGCATGATACTCCACAACCTGATGAACAAGCGCGGGACTTTGTATCTACAAGTCTGGGATACACGGAATCCGGCGGAGGCCCGTTTCAATGAGCTCCCCAACGATCCTCAGGTGGGCGGGAGGGATTTGGGCCTAGATGGCCAGATGTCTATGTCCAACATCCGAGATCAGCTTCGAGCACGTTTATGTTGATCTAATCATGTAATCTTTGCTCATCGATGGTAATTCAATAGTATATACATCAAGAGCCATTATAGAATAACATGCGAAGGGCATTCGAACATCTGAGGTGCGCCTCGTCAGATGGGTCTTTGATCACCCCGTTGGCGACTGCAGATGAGCCAGCTGCGGACGCTGGGTCTTTGAGCAGCCCATTGGCCTCTGCAGATGAGCCACCTGAGGCGGACCGGCCAAGAGCTGTGAAATCGTCCTCAGGGTAGCTTGCGACCGAGCCGGTTGGGGTAGTGCGGGAGTGCAACGTAGAGCTGCCTGTATGTGTACTTGTTGAGAGGTTCAAAGAGTTCTCTGGCGCCTGAGGCCCAGGAACGCTGGGTGTGTCAGTTGATCCATCAGGGGGCTGGGGTTGACTGTTACCGTCATCCGTCGGAACGGAGGCGGGAACAGCTTCTGACCGGCCGAAACTGTGCGCGTTGGGGGTCGCCTCAGGCAGCTGGCAGGCATGGAGATCATTGGTCGTTAGTGTTCTTAGCACCTCGGGGGAAGATCAGACACCGCCGGCTCACCCATTCTCTGTGCATGCTGTTTCGGCGGTAGGCAATCCTGTCATTTGCCCGAGCGTTGGACGGGCAGTCGCCTATTCCATGAATTTCCTTCAAATGGCGGACCTCAGCGGTAAGGGATGTGGTGGCTGAGAGGTCACTGTTGGGGATCGATCGGTCGTCAGATACATTGAGCGACATTATTGAGGAGGGTTGGTCGCAAAGTTTGTCTGTTGGGCGGGTGGGGAGCAAGACGATGAGCTCGCACTGATCGGTTGCAGCCTTGTGGTTATGAACCCCAGAGGAGTGGCGCGCAGGGACAAGGGCCCAGAGGCCCGTAACCCTAACTCATACAGACTTTGAAACAATAGGACTGCATTCCAATGAAGCCGGAGGGCAGATAGGGCTCAGGATAACAATAGCAATAAAACAACTAGATGACAATTTGAGCACATGAGATGCCAACAGGCGACTGCCATGTTGGATGGCCTACGGGCGATCGGCAACCGGATTATCCCCCCCCCCACACCAAGCATGCGCATGAGCGCTGCCTGGAACATCTGTGTCGATTGTTCCTGTGCTCGACGGGCATCATCTTGATCCTTCCTATCGGCGGCCAACTGTTTTTGACTGGCCTCGTACCGACGTCCCTCTGCCGCTCGCCACTCCTTATCCAGGCGCCGTTCTTCCTTCCGATCGGCCTCCCGAGCTCGGAACTCGTCGTCCATCAGCTGATTCCGCTTCTCAGCCAGGTCCCGATCAATCTTGAGCTGCCCATCCCTGATAGTCCGGTCGTGTGCAGCCTCAGCCATTGCCTCCAAGCGCACTAAATCTTTCGCCTTGGCCTTCTTCTCAGCCACCTGGTGGTTTTCAAGTTGTAACTGGTCTTGCCGATCATGAGATTTTTGTAACATCACAAGTAGGGCTCCGGCTGAGGAATCCTTGTGTTTGGTGACCTCGGTCCGGCCCCGACGTCGGGCAGGGTGTGGCCCCGCAGGCGGGGGCTTAGCCATAAGGATCACGTCGGTAGGAACCGTCGGGGTTGGGGTAACTGTCGCCGTTGGGGGAACCGTCGGGGTAGGAGGAACAGTAGGAGTTGGGCCAACCGTTGGGGTGGAAGGATGGGCAGGACCAGTAGTTGACCCACTGCCACCGGAGCCCATGGCCACCGATGGTGCCCTAGGGATCCCATCAAATAGGGCAGCCCCGGAAGTCCGCGCTCGCCCTGGTGATGCTCCCATGGTCGGGTGCGTCTGATTGGTGAGAACGCCTGAGGGCAAACAGCCTAGGTCCTCCTCGTCCGAGCAGTCCAAAGCCAACTCCTCGGCGGTCAAGCCGGCGATCCCTCGCCGATCACGCAGCCGCTGTGCCTCCTCATCCTCGGGCGGCCGCTCGGACGCAGGTGCCACATCATTCGGTTGCCCAGGTCCCAAGTCAGCAATCAGGGAGCCTAGGTCCCCACCAAGTTCCATATGCCCGTAGGCATTTGCGGCGGGGTTGTCGCCGTGCATTGAATTGATACAATTCCACACCTACACCGATTGAGAATCATCAGTTATGTCAGACCCCCACCCATGCCTCAGCGGAAACGACCAACTTACCATATGAGACATGTTCTCCTTAGCCAACACCTCGTGTAGACCTTCACTACCAGAATGTGAAAGCTTATCAAAAACCACCTGCAGCGCTCACCACAGAGGGTCAGTTCTAGTTAACTACTGCGACAGGAGAGGTCACAATTGGCCTACCTTCCACAAGTTCATCAACACCCGATATCGTCGGAGTATGACATCGTTGGCAATGCCATTCAGGAGAGGGTAGTCACCCCGGTCGGCCTGACGGTTGAGGAAATACGGAGTCCACGCGATGAATCCAGCTGTTTGCTTGCTCAGGTCATCGTGTTCGTCTTTGGCCTCCTTAACAAAACGCAGGAGCTCCAACGAGGCCTCTTCAGACCACACAAACCTCGGGGTCGGAGGCGTCGCAACTGAACCCTTCAACGCTGCACGGGCCTCCTTGGCAGACCTCTTCTGTCTTTGAGCCTCCAATTTTTGCGCGGCCTTTTGGGCCTTCTCCGCCTTCTTGGCAGCAGTGAGAGCTTTGTCAGCGTCGATCTCCGCGCGAGTGCGGTTCTGCTTGCGAGTTGAAGAAGATATCTTGCGTGTGGCCGCTGACGCTAGGAAGGGATTCACGCGGTCGCTGCTGTTGGTGGAGGAAGGTGGAATCAGAGGCCGCCCGACATCGATTGGAATGACCGAGAGGGGAGTCGAAGACCCCACTGACCTGGCATTGGTAGTGAGAGCGGGTGTGAGTGACCCGCCACAGTTGTGCCCTTCCGAAAGTCAATCCCTATCGGCCGACGATCTCATCTGTTGGTCCTCGAACCGTTCTTGCAAATGGTGGCCCATCCCGTTTGTCCCGCGGTTCCAGCGATCGGTCGAGTTAGAGAGAGGCCGATATGAGTGCTGGAGTAGCCCGTCCGCGCTGAGGAGGTTACCCGTTGATTGGTTGTGATGTTCCATATTCCGTACGTATTTGTTGGCTCCAGGTGTGAAAATTTTGGCAGACGATGACAGTCCGGGATGTCTGAAGAATAGGCCTATCTGTATGACCTGATAAATACCATACAGGCCAATACCGGCCCAACGTGTGTATTGGATGCAAAATTGAAGTTTTTGAGATCTCAAACCACCTCCGGAGGTGGTTTGAAATTTTTTTGAGTCGTTTTTGAAAGAAAAAAAAAAAGAAAAAGAAAAAGAAAAAAAGTTCAAATACTTTTCAAAAACTTTCAAATATATTTCGAAAAAGCGTTTATAATCAGGGCCTAAGAAAACAGGAATTGTGAATAACGGGGGGTGTTTGTCAAAGCAATCTTTGAAAAGCTTCATGTTGCCTCGAACTTGAAGCCGACTGATCATAAGTCATGACAATGTCTTGTCAACTGATCATAAGTTATAACAATGTCTTGTCAGTTTTTTTATCTCAACATACAAAGAGAATGAACGAACCTGCCTCGTTGGAGCACTGCCACGGCCAAAGATTGAACGGTATCTATCACGTTTCATCCCCTCCTCCCTGATGAGCATTACCCATTGCCGCCGTTCGCAAGTAATGACTTGAGCCTATCAATTGAAGCCTCGAGAATGATGAATTTGAATCAGCATGTTATGTACGCACATCTCTTATCGGTGAGACCTCATAAAGGCGAATACACAGGCTTTGTTGTCCGATCATTCCAAAACACAGCAACGGTTCGCCAAGAAGAGCTTGCACAGTCAAGACATGTTGATGAAGGTTAATCATGGACGCAGTTTTTGATTCTTAATCCAAGGTAAGATATTGTTAGGGGTTTCCTCGGCGTCATCCAGTTCATGCCTATCTCGTTCCTAACCAGTTTGAAATTGAGGCCAAGGATTTTCCACATCACAGCCATCAGACTTCACCAATGTCTTGTTAAGACTATTTGAGAAAGACTCGCACCGGGCAACTATTATCCAGCTAATATGAATCAATCAGTCCACCCTCAGGGGGTGGGTTCAGTATTCAGGATTATAGGGACCTGAGTCAAATCTCGAAAGACGGAGAGAAAAGTCAAACATGCATTCATGGGAGCATTCACCAGCCACATCTGGCAGGTCGCGCGCAACAACTTTATACCTCTTCAGACGAAAAGTATGGTGATGCTACAAAACCATGTAGGATGGGATAAATCAAAACAAGAGTTAACATGCTATTTTAGAATGTGCTGGACATATTAGACTCTCGGGCTACATATCATAATCCTCCTGGCGAGCAGCTCAGACATTCTGACTTGACCCAGGGGAAATGCGTCCTTTCAGTTGGTCCTCCAGGAGATTGGGGCTGAAAAGCAGCAAGCAGAGCCTGGCTACCGGATGACAACCGCACACCTCAGGCATAAAACTTCGCCGGGCAATCCGCCCAGGCTCTTTCACAGCTGAGTTTTTATGCGGGATGGTTGGTATGGTCCTAAGGTGGCAAGAGGCTTCAAAAAAGATAAACCCATGAATCATGGTTGATTGTACAGGCCTTGTAATCCTTGATACGGGGCTCCGGTTAACCTTCTGGCTCGTCCAAACACACCGCGTTGCCCGTCTCTGGAAGTCCAAGTTGCATATTACAAAGAGAAGAATAGGCATTTCAAGTGCACGTCAAGTTAATATGCATCATAATTGCAACGCCTGCATTCCAGCTTTGCAATCCAAACAAAGGCTTACCTTTGTCCTCAGTCTTATACAACGACTGTAGATATATTCCTCTGCCATAGTCAGCTGCGACTCAGTCCCATCCATCCAACTCGCTTCTTGCCTTACATATTTACATAGTCATCCATTTCTCGCAGAGTTAATTCCTTTGTGCATTCGTAAACACCGTGCGAGCAAGTACCAGCACCCCTCAGTCCTCAGCTTACTTATTCCCCTTTTCTTTGTAATTCGCACTGCCATTAGAAGTTAAGAATCCGTTCTCCCCAGAAAATTGGGCGATATTCCAATTGTATACATCGTGACAAGCCAAACTTCTCCTTTATTACTCTATACAGCCTGTGGCTGACTGTGTTTGGATCAAGTTTCAGCTTCACTTGGTGACTTCAGGTGACTTCTCACCCATAAAACAAGGCTCTTTTCGACCAGGTTTCATCTCCCCATCCCTCACCGCTCCACCCTCCTCTCACACGGGCTTTCCCCTTCCCTACCACCTCACCCTCTCAGCACTCCAACACACCTTTTCAGCGTTCTAACCTTCAACCATCTCCAGCCAATCAAGCTAAAACATTCATTCTACTCGTTCACCTTTCCCCCAGACCAGTTCTTCTTGAATTTTATTCTTTTCATATTCCTTCCTTCCCTAGCAACATGGGTTCACACCTTCTTGCCCCTCTCCAACGAAAAATCATTGGCCTGTTTTGCTTAGTCCTGTTTGCTCAATCCCTAGTAGCGGTTCCCGACGCCAGCTACCACAACTACAAAAGTCAGTTATACGTCCATCCTCCCCTGCATCCAATGAAGTACTAACAATACCCACCTCGACACTCGCAGGTACACCTAAAAACTCGCACCAAGTTATCAAGTCCCGAGGTCAAAATCTAAGACAGACTAAATTTTCATACTTGGGTCCAGCCGGTATCAGAGCCCATGACTCCCTTACGGCTAAAATTGATGGCGTCTAGTAAGCTCATGCCTCCCATTGAATAACATTGAATAACAATGTCACAGGCCATTAATCAAGTTCAACTCATTCCCACCACAGTATTGGCCTGATTCCAGATGCCGGAGATACCGGCGGCAATGTGCAAACGATGCGTGAAATCATTAAATCGATCAACGGCAAACGACCGGCGGTCTTCGGCTGGTATGCCCAAGTTTCGGTTCATAAAGAATTTGATGGTAGCCAGCTGTTCGAAATCCTCGACGATTTGAAAAAATCAAAGTGTGTATTTAGTCCCGCCATCATGCCCCAAGGTGGCTGGGCTGGACTAAGACGCGGTGACAATCATCAAGCAGTTGCCATGTCAGTTGTCTTTCACTTTATCATACCCTTTCATTTCCATCGCATGGTAGACCTGACAAAAACAAATGTTGCACGCAGTGCCAAGGTCCTTCGAAAGTTTACCGATCAAGAGATTCCAGTGATCCTTAGATTTGCCCACGAGGTCAATTGGTACGTTTCCCAAATACACAGGCTAAAACTCAACCGACCTCCTACCTCTGAATGCTAACTCATCTCGATGACAACAGGTATCAGCGTACGCACGAATACCCCGGTAATGCCGCCGATTTCAAGGAGGCTTGGGCTGTCCTTGCCGCCGCTATTCGGGAGCACGCTCCAGATGTTCTTCTTCATTGGTGCCCGAATGTATCAACTATGGAAGAGTACCGTAAATATGCACCCGACAACATGGACTACACGGTCGACATCGTCGGATTTGACTACTACCCCAAGAGCAAGCCCCAACCAGACGAATTTGTCAAGAAGGCCAAAGAATTCCACGATGCCTTTGCCATCAACGGCAGGAAATTCGCCATGGGAGAAGCTGGGTACGTTGAAACATCTACACAGTCCCAGTTCCTTGCTATCAGATACCTGCTCTCCGCTGACACTCTTCCTTCCGTAATCGTTGCACGTCTCTCTAGCCTGCACTACCAGGCAAGCTACAAAGACCGAGTCGATTGGCTTTCACAAATGGCCCATGCCCGAAAGGAACTCCCTAACTTACTTTTCATCAACTGGTACAACAGCAAGAAGGAATACGATTACAAGATCGCAGGCAACGGCCTATCCACCACCCTCTTGACAGAGAAACTAGAATAAACAACTTTCTCCCCTTCATTCGCCTCGTTATACTCGTTTTTTTTTCTCACTCTCGTTTTCCCTACACCCTCGCTTGAACTCGTGTCTATCTCTAGTAGGCTTCGGCCGACCAGAATCGCTAGAGTTCTTTATGTTTTGGGTAACAGGGGCCACCGAGTGGCTCATTGGGCGAGCTAGTCTTGTCCCTTTCACCATCAACAGGAAGTCGTCTATCATTGATTAGATACTAATCTGTCTTGTTCCCGGTGAACATTTCTTCCCACTCACTGTCCTGTTTTTGTAGCTGTCTCATTTTTTTCATTCTTCCGGGTCAACTGTGCCTCTATCCTACCGTTGTAGTTGAGACATCACATCACCCTCCTTGTATATAGTTTCATTGTCTAGCAGTAAATGTAATCACAAAATACAATAGGTTACAACAATTCAAACCCGTGAACATATGCAGTTTCTCCGGGAGTTCATCTCCAAGCACTTTCATGACGCTAGCTGCACGCGCATTCGGTTCAGGTAGGCTCATCCTCACTTTGCGGCTGAGTGACATAATATGTGTGGACACCTTATGGTAGCGATGAATGGCAATGCAAAGCTTAAGTTCAACCCGTCGAGCCCAGGGGCTCGCGCACATACACGCACATCTCTCGCTCTTGCTTGAAGTTGCTTCGCGTAATGGTGAACCCATGCCGGGGCTCATACCTTTATGCTGCATACATATCATACACGTTTATCTTCGTATACCCGGACATATGATATTCCAGCGACGGGTAAGCGTTAAGCTTCCGAGAAGGCCCACGTATTCCCGCTATAATAATTCGACCACATATTTCGGCATAGCAACCATTGCTGTGCGACGAAGTCTACAACCCGTGGAAACGGTTATGTGCACAGCCTAGTACAAATTTGAATCTTCCTGACTAGAATGTTTTTCCAGAACATTGCGAAAAAGCAAGCGACAAAACACGCATGGTAACATACACACAAAGCTGTACTAATTGATGGCTTCCTCCCGGTGACTGGGTCAAGAAGCTATTATTGTTTCCTTCCTTTTTTGTGTATCCCAAAAGAAGCCAGATTGGACTGTACATAACTGCAGACCTACCCTTTTGCCAGTCATACTCCCCACCCCTGCAAATTTTTATATTTACTCCTTGAGCTATTTGAAATTGGACTTGCGGACATTCATGGTTTGTAGTATCTCAAGAACAATTTCAAGAAACTAGTTACTTGACTAGAATGTTTTTGCTTTTCACACAATTCAAGAGTTCAAATTACTTCAACTCAATAATTTTTCACCCTAACAAAAGTTCATGATTCCAAAGTAATTCTGCAATAATGCTTGGAGTTTGAAACTTGGCACAACTGTGTGAAGCCTCCTTATCCTGACACCTACAAAGTTAAGCAAGTTTATCTTAAGGTATTTGTTTTTTCAGACAGCAATCAGCCCAACCAAATTTCATAATAATTGCAACACTGTAGGCATTTTTGCCTCAGCACTTGAAGCACTCATATCATTTTTGAATCTTGAAGTGGAAAATTTCCCTTTCAATCCAGGAATTAAACTCTGACATCAAAATGACATCTTGGCTCCGTTAATCTGTCACTTGAATAATTCTAGTTTCTAGCCAATTAGACCCTTTTATTCATGACAGAAAATTATCATTATTCTTTACTTCCTAGAGCCCATATTCCACATATTCATGATGCCTCCTCTTTCATGGGCTCAGAAGACATTCAATTTTAGTGCAGAAGATTGATTTCACATTCAACCATCTCTCAGCTAGTTCGAAAGATACCAAACTCCTGCAATCAGACTATAAATTATTCAACAAATTCTCTGAAAATAGTTGTACCTTTTTGATTATATCACCAAGAATATTGCAATTTTTTGTTTCACTTTCTACTTTGAGGGGATCTGTGTAGTGGATTTTGAATTAAATTTCTAATGTGCCTAATTTTGTACCCCATTGGCCAAGAAGAAAGAGAAATTTGAGTGTTTTTTATAATAATAGAGAATTGTTTTATGTATGTCTCAATGCTTAAAGATGACTTATAACAATTAACATGATTTATGAAAACAGTGTGGTCTGTGATTGACGAATTTCTGGAAGAACTTGTTGTTATTTTTTGCCAAATATCTTCCTTTAGAGCCGCATTATCGGTGTCGGTAGGTTAGCGCGTGGATAAAATTTGAAATAAGTTATACATAATAACTTGCCTCGGCAGCCTCAACCACATTGCTTTGACAAATCTAGCAGGGAGTTGAATTCAAAGTTGCCAGTGGATGACTTCCCGTCAACATCTGCGGGTCTCCCAGTTTTGATTTAGAGCCGAGAAAGCTAGATTTCCCTGCAAAAATCTAGACTTTTTGGGTCTAAATCGCAAACTGCGAGGATTAGAGTGCTTTTCAAGCCCTCCCCAGTCTTAAATTAGCACCCCAATCATAATTCCAACCAGCTCACGTGAGAGCTTTATCTTCACCAGGCTTGCAAAAAAAACAATTTTTTTATACCAAAAATTAAGATCTAGGGGGTGTAAATTCAATTCTGGGAGGGTCGTAAACCGCGACAGGAAGACATCAGTGGATGACTTCCCGTCAACATCTGCGGGGCTCCCAGTTTCGATTTAGAGCCGAAAAAGCTAGATTTCCCTGCAAAAATCTAGACTTTTTGGGTCTAAATCGGAAACTGCGAGGCTCCCAGATCCGACGGGAAGTCCTCCAGTCCTCCAGTTAAATTAACAGTGTTCATGGTTCTCCATATTATTATAGCTTCCGAAATTTCTGCGTTCCTATGCAGAGCGGGGCGAACTTCGACGACACATTTAGTAATACTTGTTACCCCCAAGCAGATTTGCCTAAGCTCATGAAAGTCAACAAACACAACCACCCAATCGAGTCTCCTGGCCGGCAAGATGTATTTGCCCTTATGTATCATTAAACCGATTTGCCAACTTGATGAGCCAGGCTTCCGTCGTGCTTTGGTTTTGTGACGCGTGGAGACGCTGGAGTGTTTTTTTGAGTGACCTGTGATCATCTATCCAGCCAGACCTCCACAATCACCAGCTCAATATTCAGTGCATCTCTAGTGTTATGGCAAGAAGAATGCTTAATTGCGATCTCCCAGTGCCATGCATCAATCTCGAGTGATCTCTTGGGCCAGAAGATCAATCACTTCTTTTGGAAGATGGCAACACATGCAATTATCCTGGCAATTTTCCCTCAGACATGCTTTTTGGGTTGGTAGTTTTGACTTCATGAGAGAGAGAGAGAGAGAGAGAGCAGTTGATCGCTGTCAATCGGTCAAACCGGCTACTTATTCCACTCACAAACTCAGCATGCCCGCAATTCTCCGGAGGATTGGCTCCTGGATGGCCGCCCAGACAGGAGGTTGCCAGACTATCCTATCATTTCACGCCCATGTTTTTTTATCCCCCACCCCAGCAGCTGTACCATCCTTCAGCCAGTGCGTTCTTCAGACATAAAGATAATTACGCTACCTTACTTCTTTCTGACACTCTCACTTATCCTCACCTCCAATCTTCCTCGTCGAGCTTGAGTGCCTTTTCCAGCCTGTTGGTTCAAGCATATTGATTATGGCTAGATGTGCGATTGAAGAGTTGTCTCCAAAGAAGCGACCCCTGTCGTCCGGTAAGATGCCACGACTTGGATCCCCTGATTGTCCCAACGGAATCCACTTTTTCAGGTTCCAACTTGCGAAGCTCATCGATGTTGTACCCGCCTCTTTTTCCCCTCGGTTTCCATAAAAAAAAAAAAAAACTAAGGTGACGAGACAGATGGAGCCGATGGATCAAGCCCGAATCAGATCAGCGAATCCTTCTCAGAATCCCGGGTCAACTTGCAGCCCGATCGCGACAGTCAGTTTGCCTCAATCTCCCAACAAAGTCACCTAAGAAAAGAGAAGATAGACACAAAGATAAATAATGATACAATTTACTACTTTGCCTTCAAACAAAAGCCTTGCTACGCGATCTTGAAAGACTGGCGAAGGTGTTCGACGACGTCAGGGAGAAGCGACCTACAACATCAACTGGGATCGAGGAAGATGGTAAGAAAGATAACTCGAAAGCTTCAAGATGATAATACTAGAAACCTTAATGATTCTGATCATAGAAACCCCCACCCATGTTGAGCCGACACACCGGAATACGGATACCAGTGGAGTTAAGGGCAAGAAGCACGGGAACAAAAGTGCAGGTTCGCCAAGGCTTTATCCATAAAACAGCTCAGGTGTCTTAAGGTCCCCTTTGTGGATCGCTCATCTAATTGGCTTTCCTGGGATTTTTGCTCAGCTGAGTCTCGTTCGAAGCAAGCCCCACAACATTCCAACGTAAGCGAGTATCATCGGGAAGCCAGCCTGTCTCAAAGCGGTAGCCATCTGAACTCGACCAGAGCGGGATAATCAAGCCAACATGACCAAACCTGCCTCAGGGACGATTCCTCATGACTGCTGGTTTGGAACAATGCTCACTTGACTCATGGTGTATTATCATAACCCACAAATGAGGTATGCTCTTCCTTAAGAAATTGAGAGGCGGAGCATCCAATTATGAAACCTCTATTTGTACCAGCTGTTGTACGGTAATACCAGCAGAATTCTTGGCTTCTGTTTAGTTTGAATAATTTGCACACTGTTTTGGGCCTTCTTGATTGCAGGCGTAGTATTTATGTGGTTTGCAATTGTTACTGTCCTCAGAAACAAACAAATCATAAAGAGAGCGATTTGAAATGCTTTTCCTTCACTTGATCTTCCAGACAAATCCTTGACATGATTCATGACTATGAATATATATGCGCACCTACGTACTTCCTTCAAGAGAACAAAACAACATATACATACAAATCTTAACAGAAGATACGAGATACCAACAACAGAAAGAAAGAACACAAGAAAACAATACATGCAGACGAGAGAAAACGATAGCTTCTCAAGAAGTAACCATCTTTTTTTAAGTGTGTTTTGTCTGACAAGAAGTTGGATGATGATGATGACGACGACGAGGACAAGGACGACGATGAAGACGGTGAAGGTGATAAACTAGGGTAACCTGAGAGTGAAGGATAGAACTTGGAAGGGAGGAGAGGGACGGATGGTGACGGAAGAGCAACAGTAGGAGGACCGGGCGTACGGAGTCTTTCTGAAGGAGGAAGGGTGGGGAGTGAGGTCGGAGGGCTGGCTTGGTATGATTCGTCCCTTTCCCTTTCGTTCGACTCGACTAATTCGGATACCTCCTTTTAAGATTTACAGGAATGATAATAAAAATCAACCAATCAGGACGTGCGACCGTAGGTTTTTTTTTTTTTGAAAGAAACTAAGTAGCCAAATGATGAAAAAAAGGGGTTATTTAGAGAAGGAAAAAAAATGAGATTGGGTACCTGTTGTTTGAACCTCACTTCGTCGAGAAAACTCACGCGACGGTTGTCACGAACACCACGTCCCGTCTAAAAAGAGCGCAGACATGAAGACTTCATGAGCCGCAGAAGAAATCGCACCGCAACACAACCAAGAAAGAGAATCGTACCTTATGGTTCATAGAGGATTGGTCGGACAAGCGGCGACCAGTTCCAGGATTGACCTTACTTTCGAACTGGGCTGAGAGGGCAGAAACAGGATGATTTGTAGACGACGAATTTCCCGATGAGCCATCCACGGTTTTCCTCCGAAGAGTCTTCTCAGCCTTGTTTATGAAGACCTGTTGACCGGCTCCCGAGTTCTTATTGTTTTTGATTGGTTCTGAAGGAGTAGTAGTAAGATCTCCTTGGAAAGGATTAAAGTTGATGAAGCTGGAGTTCTTGGCTTGAATGGCTCGTTCGATCATCGAGCTCCGTTCATTTTGAGTGGCTCTTGGTTTCTTGGGGGGCTCAGGAACCTCTCCGACTTCTGCTGGATCACTCGAGCTTGATGATTCAGAAGGAGGACTCCTCCGGTTTTCATGCTCAGTCTGTTTAATTGGACTGAGCGGATCGAAAGCACAAAACTGACAGATAGGGTATTCATCAGTTTTTTAAAAAAAGGAGTTTAAAATTTTACTGGTAAGAAGATTGAAGCCAACGTACTTGAAATGATGGCCGGCCAGAACGGGTACCTGTTTCTTGTTGCTTCACAACTGGTGACCGGGGAGGAAATCGTTTCTCACTGGATGGCTGATGACTGATGAAGGATGGAGTACTACTCCTAGGGAGGGTGATCGAGCAGCCGGTTCCATGGATGGTCTTCCTCCGACCACTCGTCGACTTGGCTTTATTAACCCTGGACTCTGCCGGTTTCTTCTTCTTGGGAGTGTTGGGGGGCAGCAGGGGATCGACGGAGTCTCCAGATTGGAATGGATTGAAGTCGATGAAGTTCGACTCGTTGCTCTTGATCGCTTCTTCGAGCGTCAACCTTCGACGACTGCCTCGTCGGACCGGTCCGCCAGTTGGCTGCTTCTTTTTCCGGCTGAAAAATGCTTCATCATCCGTCGAGCTTGAGGAGCCCGAGCCTGTCGATTTCCTTCGCCACTTCTCTCCCTTTCGTTCCATACCGCACGAAACTGCAAAAAGTCGACCTCCGAGACGATCTAAGTCGTGCTTGATTCAAACCTCTGTGTGGATCGATTGTTTTGGTCAATGTCCATCCCATCGCAAGAGTCAAATCGGATGAATAACAAGACACACCTGATCTCGTTCGCACCCACAGAAGCTTAAGGTTGAGGGACTTTTTCGGGACAGACGTGGTGCCCGTTTTAAAGATGTCAATCCAAGAGGAAATTCTCAGACATGAGAGCCTCATTACATAACCCAACTCATCATCTCATCTCATCTCATCAACTCTTCTGAGTTTACGTAGTAGAGCATCTTCAACTACCGATCCATTTGTAAATATCTGCCAGACTGAGCTACATATAAGCTGAGCCTCTTTGATACATAGCCACAACCTAGCTCACTCTGCCTCCAATCTGCCTCATGCTGTACGATCCTATTATGCACAAGAAAGACCAAACTGGACTAAGGCTGCCCCAAGGGTGGAGGCGCGGAAACATCTTCCGGAGAGTGTTGTCCCGAACAAGTTTGATTGCTCATGTACGGTTGATTAAAAAGCTCATCCAAAGCTCAGCTATACATACAATCAATCTGAAAAAAAAACCTACAGGATTACAAAAAGATAAGAGTGCATATTTACAAGGAAAAGGGAGAGTTTGTAGATAGTAAAAGAGGGGAGCTGAAATGAGCCAAGTCTGAGCATGTGGAGGAGCAGACTACATACAATTCATGGGAGTTTGATGACACTGCTGAACATTCACATTATCACTTTGTCCAGGCAGCTGTTCTCCCAGCAAGGGTCTTCTTCCCCTCAGACATGATGGTAAGTATTGTAGTATTTCAACAGATATAAGTGATGATAATGATAAGTATGTATGACTAAAAGATTTTTTTTTAATAAAATAAAATAAAAAACATGAGCTTCGTATGTGTACACTCAACTAGTCATACATGTATATTGAGGTAAAAAATTGACTCCAAAACATGTATGTATTCATGTAAATAGGTTGAGTAAAAGAGAAGAATCTGTTTTTTTTTTTCAGTATCTTTTTTCAGTATCTTTTTTCTTTCTTTTTTTAATTTTTTTTTATTTGGTTAAATGTGTCAACTTGAGCCTAATACCAATTGATAAATGATTAATAATACTTTTTTTTTTCTTTTGGAAAAGAAAGCATATGTATGTATATGAGAGTAAATCAAGGAAATCCATGTGATAAACAACATTGTAAGAAAAAAAAAATGATAAGGATAATGAAAGCCAGATGAATAAATGATGAGGGGGAGAAAAAAGAGAGGAAAGATGAGCCAGATAAAAAGAACAGAGAGAGAGGGAGAGCAAGAGAGAAATGAGCAAGTTTGGGATGTCTGGTTAAGAGACAGTGGAGTTGGCATCAGGAGAGCCATTGTATTGGTGTGAAGAATTCCCACCACCACTGGCATGAACAGTAGCCCCGCCATTCAAATGATTATTGAGATTCAAATTAGCCTTATAACTACCTACAAAAATCCAACCAAGATCATGAACCCCAAAAGATGAATTAGCAACATTTCTTTTCGTTTTTTATATATAATAAAATAAAGAGGAGGGAGAGGACCAACCGATCCATTCCCAAACCTTAATACTTTCGCCTCGGATCTCGCTGACTTTAGTCCGAACGTTCGAGTTTCCCTCGACGATTTTCTCGACCTTCTTCCAGAGTTTTTGCCGATTGACGGGAGAATGATCGTACGAGAGGATCAAGTCCCGGAGTTGAGCCGAGGCTAGAGTTGGTGGTTGGGGCGATAGGGCTGGATTGGTATGATGGATCCACGACTAAAAATAGATTTGGGTCGACGAGGAGAGAGAGATACCCAAAGTTCGCGGGTTTCGAACATGTGTGTCAACAATTTAAGTCTCTCTTTTCATGCTGATGGATATAAGAAAGTATATCAGGAATGATCGACTTACCTCGTCTCTCAATTTCGTCAAAGCCAGCTCGACCAACTCGCGAACCTTCTGTTTCTCCTCGGCGATACTCGAGATCGTGAGTCTGATGTAGATCCAGCCAGCGAGGACAAGCACCAAGGAGAGGAGGATCAACTTGAATTTTTTGATCGTCTTGAAGAGGCCCAATTTGAGCCGACATTTGAGGCCCATCTCGAGTTGTTTGAAGTCAGCGGTGGCTAACCAGCCCTGATCTCTGAGGATCTGCCCCGACTTCTCGAGATCTTTGATCGCTAGCTCAAAGATCTCTTGGTCTGACGAGGAGGTCAGACTAGGAGATGCTGACTTGTCCGAGTGGGATAGGATCTGATCTTGCACTTCTTTCTCCTCGAGACCGTAGACCTTGATCTTCACCAATCGCTCTTCCTCTTCGTCAGAGGCCCGCATACCCATTCCACAGAGCACTCTCCCGCGTTGTTTCTTGAGGATCTGGTTGAGTTGATTGGCCGTCTCAACGATTTTGACAAGCTTGGCGGTATCGGGAAGACACTTTGGCCCCATGAACATCGGCATCCAGCTGTGCACGGCCTTCTCCCAGTCGGTATGGGTCTTGACGAAGTCGGGCTCGCATCTAATGATCCGCCCACCTTCGCAGATCGCATGTGGAGGGCAGCTCTGGCAGTCCGGTAACAGACCGATGGCAGTGGCCGCATCGAAAGCTTGGCCCATCTTTGCTCGGAACGTGCCTGAGAAAGTCTCCAAGTCATTGCTCGAGTCCATGTCGCCAAGGTCGAGAAATTGGTCGATCCGCTGGTCTCGGGTTATCGCATTGCTCTTCATGCCCGTGTCGCAATAGCCCAGTCGTTCGACTTGCCCGCGATACCAGCTCACAGCACCAAACATCAACCCAAGACAGCCCAATCGTAAGAAAAAACTGATCACTTGACTCGGCCCGGCAAACATCCCGTTGCGCTTCGGGATAGTCCTCCGGAAAGGCTTTGTAATCTTCAATCTTTTCTCAGCCGGTGTTTGAACGAGTTCGTCAAGCCTGACGCGTTGGATATGTGGACGGGGGATTGGGGTCTGATATTGAAGGTTTGATGAGCTGTGAGAGAGTGTTTGAGCATACGGTGTACGTGGTGGTAATTGAGATTGTCTGCGAGATTGAACAGAAGCGGGCGTCCGCGTGGGTTGAAGAGCAGTCTCGTGAGGGACTGTTCCACCTATGCTGTCTCTCGAAGATCGCATTCTCTCCGCTTCATGATAGGTAGTCGAATGGCGGGAACGAGGGAGAGTCGGGCCATCGACAGTCTCGTTTTCTTCGGGTGCGAGGAGCTGCTGAATATGCTCGGGGTTGCCGAGATCGAAAGAACTGTTGCCATCGAAGTCATCCTGAAGATGAGTCATCGTCAGTCTTCTGTTACTCGCCAAGGATGGAAAAGCGCCACTCTTGCGGATCGATTCCCGAGCAGGGGTCTGTTGTAAGGAGTAGACATCCGCAGTGGTTGTCGACTTGGGTAGAAAAGATGGAGTAGCGTGGAGGGTGGGAGAAGTGTGATTGGGAGGGACGGGGATTTGATGTGAAGCTGGATTGAATTTAGTAGGGGATATAGTATTGAAGATGTTGGGTGTGGTACTGGATTTTGGCAGCTGGGCTGGGGCAATAGAAGATCGCTTGACGGACGACTTTGTAAGAAAAGAAAAAGCAGAAAAAAAAGATAAAAATAGGACTATCAACCACTTCGTTCATTAGATGTATGATCCAACATAAAGAAAGGCTAATCAAGCACCTGTCGTTTGGAAGGGCGAGGTTTTTTGGAACTACTACCGCTCTTATCATCCTCTGCTCCACTCTGGAATGGGTTAAAGTCTATGAAAGTCCCCTCTCCAGATTCGAGAGCTTCATGCAGAGTGCTCCTGCGATTCTTAGATTTAGAGATATTCTTCTTAGCGATGGCAGGTTCTTGATCGTTTGAGTTACTGGCCGATGATTGAGCCGGGAGTTCTGATCGACGCTTCTTGACCGGAGCAGGAGACAGGGATGAGTTGGTCATCGAGGAAGATGGTTGACTCAAGTTCTCCTCACTAGGACGAGCCTGTTGATCGACTTCCGATTCGGGTTCAGGTTCGGATGGGGTAGGCTGTTCGCTTGCCTTTCGCTTACCGGTTCTTCGGGGTGGTTTTTCTGGCGAGGAATCAGGTTGGGTAGATTCTCTTTGGTTCCTCTGGTTAGTAGCGCGACCACGGACTGATCTGACTTGCGGGGTCGATTCACCCTCCGGCTCGGTGATAGATGGTTCGCGATTAGTAGCTCGTCTGCTTGTTCTTTGTTTGGATGTGTTGGAGGTGAGAGACTCCTGATCAATGGAGATGGTGGACGAGGCTTTCTTTCTGGGTGACCTAGTTGCGGGAGGGTCATCATCGGTGAGGTATCGACCGGTACGCATGTCAAAGATTCCAGCGGCTGAGGGTTTGACGTTCTGATGATCCTTGAGAAGTTTCTAATGATCACAAAGGGTGCGAACGTAAGAGGATGTTGAGAATAATCAAGACTGAGGAGAGTTTTGCTTACAGCTGTCATGGGTTTGACTTGTCGATTGAATAGCCTTTGAAAATTTTGAGACGCAGAACAGGGACACCGATACATAGGTAGGTCAGCAGACAAGACCTATTATTGGTGATGTAGAGGATTAGAAGACCTACTGAACCAGATCGGCCTTCTTGGTGTAGGAGTGGGGGATATTGTTTTCTAGTAGGATGGATCTCAGCTCAGAGATCTTGACTGAGTTAGGATCGAAGCCAGGCAGCATCCAATCTGGGGGTGGTTCTGGGTTGGTTGACTGAGCCATATTCGAATCTGAGTCTGGTGTGTTGGTTGTTGTTGGTTGTTGTGGTTGAGGTTGAGAAGTTGAGCAGGAGCAGTTGAAGGAGGAAGTTGAAGAAGTAGAAGAAGGGGAGAAGGATGGCTTACATAACACAATCCATGCACAGCACCACCGACGCGACTTTTTCTCACTCTGGAGTGGAGTCCCACCGGATGAGAACTTCAACACCCTTGATGTGAACTGTGTATGACTTCGAGCCTGGAAAGATAACATAGAATGAGGATTGTAAGAGAAAAACCTTCAAAACACAGAAATTAAAACATTAATAGAAAGACAGGGAAAACAAAAGTGCACTGTGGGTGCACTTTGAAGCCCTAGGGACATCAAACTAAGAGAGTCTCAAAAGTATCGAAATCCATTCAAGAAGCAAACCTTTGATCACAAGAGCCTGACAATAATTTAAGGCTGTCTTGATCAGATTTCGGTCCCTGGAACCAAGCTGGAGCAATGTTGATCCAGGGTGTAATCCCACATTGCACCTGTGGTGTAAGTTCCAAGACAAGTGATCAAGTCCATATATAATCCACGAGGGAGACCAGCAGGATGAAAAAGAAGCAGGAAAAGAGGGGAAACTCCATGAGGGAGTCAGAGAGTTCAGCAGGAGTCTTGCGGATCTTCATTTTGCCATTATGGAAGTATGTAATCTGGCTGTTGTGTTGAAGGAAGTTTCTGGTGGCTGGAAAACCCAAAAACAGCTGTAGGTTCATAGTAAGATGTTTGACGAGCCAAAAAATATTAATAAATCAAATTTTCCAAAAACCTAATTTCTGATCAATGTTAATTGGCAACATTAACACCATATGTGGCCTGATCTTAATCGATGAAACAAAAAAAAATCACTTGCAGAATTGAGAGAAATCTTTCCTGTTAAGAGTGCTTCCACTCCAGACCTCAGTCTAACTGAAAGACTCCAGCACTGGTCCCGGAAATTCTTATCCCCCCACTTGAGAGCCTTTATACTGTGATTTATCTTGATCTGCTTTCCTAGGATTTGCCGTGCTGAGAAAGGACTGCTTATCAGGTTGTCTTCCAACACATGCACTGAAAATGTGATTATATCAGATTCCCACATCTGGCATTACATCAGATGAAAAAACCTGATTTTACCTCAGGCAAAACTGGTATTATATCTATCAGGAGTGATATTATATCTACCCAAAATTATGTTATATCTATCTCAAGAGATATTGCATCAGCCCAACCTATTTAATATCAACATAACTGATTTTATATCAGATTTTTATATCTGATACAAATTTTTAGCCCATGGGCATTACATCAGATGGAAAAATCTGATATGAATTCAGTTGTGTTGAAATTGAATAGGTTGGTCTGATTTAATATCTTTCATGATAGACACAATATCATTTTAGGTAGATATAATATCAATTCTGGTAGATACAATCCCAGTCTTTCCTGATGTAATATCAGATGTTTTTATCTAATGTAATGCCAGATTTAGCAATCTGATACAATCATTTTGGCAGTGATGTTCTACATTGCAGCCATCATTGTTTCAGTCGATTCAGAATATGAACAACATCATTTGTTCAACGGGTTCTGATCAAATTCTGAGGGTCTGAGAGCCACAGTCATGTAGTTTTTCGGGTCAAGATGGAGAGCAACATGCTGAAGTTTTGTGGTGGCAACTTGGAAATTCTAGCATGACGACAACCGCCTTCAACTTTTTAATTTCATTGTTAAGATAACGTTTTCTACTACGACAGAGAATGGTCAAGAGGAAAAGAGGGGGAAATGGATAGGGGGGGGGGGGTAGGAAGCAAGCTTGAAGGGCAACAAAGACTCTGTGGGAGAGGAAAACTAATACAACTTCTACAGCGCGAATATATAAAAAAATGAAGAAAACAAAATCTTGAACTGACCAACACCACAAGAAAAGAAAAAAAAAAGTGTCATTTGGGATGAGCAAGAGGGAATGTTGGAGGAATGTTCTTAGACAAAGACCATCTCGTCGCACTCGGGATTGGAGCAGACGAAGTTTGTTCCCACATCGGGGTTATAGCCAATGACGGGTTGATGAGAAGCTCTTTCACTGAGATCATCAAGTAAGAAAAATAGATAGAAAAAGAGGTGAGCAGATGGGTAAGATAGTTCATTCAGAAGAGATAGTAACAGTGAGAGAGAAAAAAAAGGACGGACCCATGTTCAAGGAAGTGTTGATCAATGGAGGCAAGAGTGTCGCCATCGATGCCCCAGGGGCAATGCGCACATTGGACACCTTGTGGGGCAGGCTCGGTGGCTTGCAGGGTGCCCACCGGACAGGCTGGGCAGACTGCTCGCGGGGCAAGCAGGATCGCGAGCAAGCTGTGGTGGTGCTCATCCGGACGGACAGTGGAGCAAGCGCTGGCCATAGACGTATCAGGACCTTCGCTATCCATCGCGTCCGAGGCAGCGTCCTCAGCATACATCTGCGTCAAGTCCAGCTCATGGTCTGGCTCAATCGGCTCCTCCTGCATTAAATCACTCTCTGTCCAGCCATCAACAAGGGAAGTCATCAGTCTAAGATCGGGGGCTTTGAAGGGTTTCCTAGTTTTTTTGAGATCGTGACAAACGAAAATAGGAAGGGCACACAGACCTTCTGCTTCTTCAATCATTTCATCGGTTTGGCTGCTCAGGAGGGACTCCCACTGTCGATTCATCTGCTTGATGTGACGCCTTCCAAGCTCTTCGGCCATCATCTCATCCTTACGGGAGATGAT